TTTGGATGTTTAGTTTGACAGTTGCTTGGTAACCATGCTAATTAGATGTTGTGTTTAGATAATTGGCCACTTGGATGATATTTACGTGTGAGAAATTTATCTGGAGTGACCAATGTAGTAGCATTTCATCTCAGATGCTCCTGAGGCTGGCTCCATTTCACTTCACTATTGACCAATCAAATTTGAGTTTGAAACTTTCTTTTCCCCGATGATGGTTATAAACTTATTTTAATTGGTAAGGATTTTTGATTTACTAGAGAAGTACAGCATGTATGTGGAATGTTTGAGATGCAATGAATTTATACTATAATTATTATATAACCCTGACTGTGGTTGAGGTTCTACATAAGGACATTGGTGAAGGAATCAATTTGTTTGGAATTTGATATGCACATTGATTAGAATTTTTCCACAAAATTTTTGAAGTGAATAAACTTTATATCAATGAGTTTTGCCCTTGAGATTATCGTTTACTGAAACAAATTTGGAGAGAACTTCACTTTCACTTGTATCACTGTGAAATATTGACTGATAGTGTGGGGATGTCTAGATGTGCATGAAAGTGTCAAAACAAATTGATTTAGTTTCCATCTATACTGTGTATATTAGTGAGATAACCTGCATGTGTCTGTTTATTTTCTCCTTCCCACAGTTTTGGTTTGCCATTAAGAACGGGTTCTCTGGCCAGATCCTGTTTGAGAGATGGAGTATTGGCTTTTACAATGTGGTAGGTACCAAGTATTGTGGGGAATTACAATGTGGTAGGTACCAAGTATCCTGGGGAATTACAATGTGTTAGGTACCAAGTATTGTCGGGAATTACAATGTGGTAGGTACCAAGTATTGTGGGGAATTACAATGTGGAAGGTACCAAGTATTGTGGGGAATTACAACGTGGAAGGTACCAAGTATTGTGGGGAATTACAATGTGGAAGGTACCAAGCATTGTGGGGACTTACAATGTGGCAGGTACCAAGTATTGTGGGGAATTACAGTGTGGTAGGTACCAAGTATTGTGGGGAATTACAATGTAGTAGGTACCAAGTATTGTGGGGAATTACAATGTGGTAGGTACCAAGTATTGTGGGGAATTACAATGTGGTAGGTACCAAGTATTGTGGGGACTTATAATGTGGTAGGTACCAAGTATTGTGGGGACTTACAATTTGGTAGGTACCAAGTATTGTGGGGAATTACAATGTGGTAGGTACCAAGTATTGTGGGGATTTACAATGTGGTAGGTACCAAGTATTGTGGGGAATTACAATGTGGTAGGTACCAAGTATTGTGGGGATTTACAATGTGGTAGGTACCAAGTGTTGTGGGGATTTACAGTGTGGTAGGTACCAAGTGTTGTGGGGAATTACAGTGTGGTAGGTACCAAGTATTGTGGGGACTTACATTGTGGTAGGTACCAAGTATTGTGGGGACTTACAATGTGGTAGGTACCAAGTATTGTGGGGACTTACGATGTGGTAGATAAACTGTATAAAGGGAACTAACAATGTGTTATGTACAAACTAAAAGGAAAAGGTACAGGACATTATGGGGACAGATAACGTAGTAGATACAACATATTACAAGGGAAAGACAATCATGTTGGTACAGTGTATAAAGTATTGTGGGGAATTATTACGTGGTAGCTGGTAATATAGGGGCTTACATCATGACAGGTATCTTAATGAAGTATGTATTTGATATACCAGATTGTAAGCCAAAATAGGTGCTGGTAAGATTGTTACTGTAAGTAGTGTGGGGTTTCTTTGTTATAATCATCGTCTGATATTTTTATTATTTTCTGTGTTATAGAGTCATTGTCGCTGATCTGTTTGTATAAAGTACCATGATGTTGTAGTACATATATTTATACATTAATGGATTTGTCTCATTATCTCCATTTCTGTGGAACAATTCAAGGTTTATAATTATGTTCAAAAGGTAGTAAGTTTAAGAGATAAATATTAGATTTAACAGTAACCATAAAATTCCAATTTGTGGTTTGAAGTATAATTATCAATTTGATTGTGAATTATCCATTTTAGGTTTTAACAGTGTAGGTACAAAAATGTCTTTTCCTTTAGATTAATAGTTACAATTTTCTCTGTTTTGATTGGTCAGATAAATACCAGCGATGTAGGACTTCTTTTGTGTTAAGATTTATTTTGTGCCCACAGATATTTACTGCAGCCCCGCCCCTGGCCATGGGACTGTTTGACAGAATCTGTAGCGCTGATAGTATGATGAAGTTTCCCGCACTGTATAAATCTTCACAAAATGCAGAGTACTTCAATGTTAAGGTCAGTACATTGAGGTCAAGGTCACCATGTTAAGATCAATATTTATAATGTCGATTTCATTATCAAGGTAAAGGTCTTCAGGGTCAAGGTCATCAGATAAAATGTAGAGATGAGGTGACTCCACTGTTACAGTATATCAGAAATTGATATAAATGTAATCTGGCTTTTTTTTGTGTAAATGTAAAATCTGATGAGAAATACAGAACTGATATGTAATATTGTTTGATGATATTTAGATAATTTTTATTCCCTATAAATTGCGATCAGTGTACCTTACCTGTACTATTTTGTTTCCTGTACAGGTGTTCTGGATGTGGATATTAAATTCAATCTACCATTCCATACTTCTATTTTGGCTTCCAGCCATATCTCTTCAACAAGGTATGTTATAATGATGTCTATTAATAGTAACTAGAATTTACTTCAGACACTTTTCATGTCATTAACTAAAATTATTCATCAAAAGACAATACATGCATACTAGTTAGTTTACCGTAAATTTTCGCGTATAGTGCACACTTTTTCAAGCTAAAACTGTCGTGTCAAAGAGGGGGTGCGCATTATACGCAGGAACATGCCATTCTTGGGGTTACCATTCCCGAGTTCTGTGTCCGCCATATTGGATTACCTCCCTTCACATAGTTACATGTAAAAGTCATCGGTCTTATATGGTAGTTTGAAGATAAAAAAAAAATGAAATAAAATAAATCTCGAATGTTTTAATCATCGTCCATTCACGCTAGCATTACGGTGAATCTTATTTTTTTTTCGTTTCCCGTCGTTCGAATAGTGACGGTCTTACTATTGGTCGGGGCTATAGTAGTGTCTGAATTAAATCTAATCCATTGAATTGTTTATGTTAATTCATTTTCAACTTATTTTACAATTTCATTTACAGATTCTGCCTTTTCTGATGGGAAAGTAGGAGATTATTTATTTTTAGGAAATTTTGTATATACGGTAAGAAATTTTTTTTTAGGAAATTTTGTACATATTGTGAGAAACAAAGTCAGTTGTTTATGTTATAGGAATTGATATGTAATAATATAATGAATGTAATATAGTAAATATAGAAATACTGTGTACCTTGGTACTAGTAATTCTCTAGAAGAAAAATTTACAGAATTTTTCACATTTGGTACAAAAAGTACAGATGAATTAACCAGACAATTCTGTTTCCCACTTATTTACAGTAATTTTTGTGGTGTTTGTATATTTTGTGTCTGTAAAAGTTACGTTTCCTCCACAGTATGTAGTGGTGACAGTGTGTCTTAAGGCTGGCCTGGAAACCAGTGCTTGGACATGGGTATGTAAATCTACACAACGTCCTTATATATTTATCTCATTATATGATACTGAGCATTTGTTTAACATAAAAACTGTTCATATGTTAGTGAAGAATCACTATAAATACTGGTTCTATTTCTAATCATAGCTGATAAACCCGAAAAGATGAACAAGTGACAAAATAGATCAAAGACAGGTAAAATCAAGAGTTTGCTTTGAAAAAGTTCTTAATACACCTGAAATTACTCTGAAATTCATTAATGACAATTCAGATCTGGTGATAATGTATACATGTATGTGTTCAGTACTTGTACAGTAAACATATCTGACATATTTACAGCTGACACACCTGGCTATATGGGGTAGTATAGCGAGTTGGTTCTTGTTTCTCACCGTGTACAGTCACATCTACATGATTGTGGACCTAGCCCCAGAGATGCTTGGCATGGTAAGTCATCCCAGATACTGATATGTTACTTTACCCCATGAATGATCAATGATATGGTAGGTCACCCCAAAACTGAGCAGTATGTGTTATGGTAGGTCACCCAAAACTGACCAGCATGTGTATATGGTAGGTCACCCCAAAACTGACCAGTATGTGTATATGGTAGGTCACCCCAAAAACTGACCAGTATGTGTATATGGTAGGTCACCCAAAACTGACCAGTATGTGTATATGGTAAGTCACCCAGAAATGACCAGTATGTGTATATGGTAAGTCACCCAGAAATGACCAGTATGTGTATATGGTAGGTCACCCCAAAACTGACCAGTATGTGTATATGGTAAGTCACCCAGAAATGACCAGTATGTGTATATGGTAGGTCACCCAAAACTGACCAGTATGTGTATATGGTAAGTCACCCAGAAATGACCAGTATGTGTATATGGTAGGTCACCCAAAATTGACCAGTATATGTATATGGTAGGTAACCTCAGAAATTTTCAGTATATGGTGACGCAGAACTGACCAGTATGTGTATATGGTAGGTCACCCCAGAACTGACCAGTATGTGTATATGGTAGGTCACCCCAAAAACTGACCAATATGTGTGTATGGTAGGCCACCCCAAAACTGACCAGTATATGTATATGGTAGGTCACCCCAGAAATTTTCAGTATATGGTAACCCAGAACTGACCAGTATGTGTATATGGTAGGTCACCCCAGAACTGACCAGTATATGTATATAGTAGGTCACCCAGTAATTTCAGTATATGGTGACCCAGAAATGATCAGTATATCATAAATCACTCCAGACAGGCTTTGTTTAATATATTGTCCAGAAGTACATTTGATCAATCAATAGATTCATCTCTGTTTCAAATTTACAATAATTGACATCATTGACATATTTTCTACATTTAGGACTCCCATGTATTTGGCTGTTCAATATTCTGGATGGGCTTAGTTCTTATTCCTCTGATGTCACTCATCCGTGACGTCGCTTGGAAAGCGTAAGTAAAGGTTTACAATAAAACATATAAAAGTACACAATACAACATGTAAAAGTACACAATACAACATGTAAAAGTACACAATACACAGAATAATGCATAGGAGGATTTATAAGTATGAAATGGCAAGTCTGTCCATGACAATCCTTCCATTTGGTGTATTCAATAAGTACCGTAACAGTTGCACTCAAACTTTTAGATAAAAGTGGACAAAAAGAGATTAATTGATATCGATATCAAACTTGACTTTATAACCAAACCCAGAGACTCCTGAGGAGCGAAAAGACTTGACTTTATAACCAAACCCTGAGGCTCCTGAGGAGCGAAAAAGACTTGACTTTATAACCAAACCCTGAGGCTCCTGAGGAGCGAAAAAGACTTGACTTTATAACCAAACCCTGAGGCTCCTGAGGAGCGAAAAGACTTGACTTTATAACCAAACCCTGAGGCTCCTGAGGAGCGAAAAGACTTGACTTTATAACCAAACCCAGAGACTCCTGAGGAGGGAAAAGACTTGACTTTATAACCAAACCCTGAGGAGTGAAAAGATATTGTTATTTTAACTGTACAGGTATCAGCTATCTTAATATGCATGATGTTTGAGTGTATTAAGTTGTTCATTGATCAAGTGTTCACAATTTTCTAGGATAAAACGGACCATGTGTAAAACATTAAAAGAAGAGGTCCAGGAAAAAGAGAAATTACACGAGGACCCCACACCTGTTGTTTTAAAGTTAACAAAGAAAAGGTAAGTCTGAAGATTTGAAAATGATAAAATGGGAAGTCGGCAGATTTGAAGATGATGAAAAAGTAGGTCTGAAAATCATAAATATTATAATAAAGGTAAAGTTTCCTATATCAAATAGTTATAAAATCTGGAACATAGAAAAAAGTTTTTGTAAAATCTGTTCTCTCAAACAGGTGAATTTTAGACATTTCCTTATCACGGACCTAATAACTGTTAGTAGATGTAGATATAAATATATAAGAGTAATTTTTTTCATTGGAATTCTAAACATTAGTACTTTATACATGTTATTCGAGCAGATGATTGAGTAGTGATGGCTCAGAACATTTATGTCTTTCATTTTAATGATTAATAAATAGAAAGCAGATTATTTGAGAAAAAGACTTCAGTTAGCTATAATCATACAAAATGTTATCAAAGGTATATATCTTTTTTAGTTGATGTTTTCAAATACTGTATTTATCTTAATAAATGCCCCAGGGCCGGGGGGGGGCATTTATTAGAAAGGGGGCGTTAATTAGGATAAATACGGTATGCAGGGATTTTTGTAGTAACTGTATTGTTTAACAGCTTAAAAAAGCAACCTGCTATGTTGCATGTTCTTACAGATTGACAGAGACAGCGCGCCTGCTCCGAAATGTCTTCACACGATCATCAGGCAGAATGCCTACAGCTGTGGACCAACCCCGTAAGTCTTTCTTCCTCAGAATTCTGTAATATATTCTCACCAGAGATTTTAATGTGTCATTTTGTGTGAAAAGTATTATCTTTACTATAGCTTATGAACTCGGCCAGTGTAAAGCATACAGTGTAAATATGTGTACTGATATTTTCTGTTGTGTCCTGTATCGTTCAGTTATCGCTTTCCTTTGTTTATCGTTGAACTGTGTACTATATATACAAAAAATATACATACCTTCAGGGATAGGATAATTAATTCAGTGATTGCTTGATTCATGTTAATAAAAATAAGATATAGTGATCTATGTTACATAAATACCTTTCAATATATTAGATTAGAAGCTACAAATAAAGCAAAGGCATAGAATTTAGTGAAACTTCTGTCTCAGTAAAGTCATGATTCCAAATATATCTTGTCCTTCAATATTATCCTCATTTTTCGTACCATGTACAATTGTCTGTCTGAACTGTTGTCTTGTTCTTCGCCAAAAATGCCACCAAAATACTCATATACAATGGGAGAACAACATTGGGATTAACAGGGACTTGATACACACTGCTGTGACAAACACTACTGTAAATTTTTCTGTGAGAGTTAAATGTTGCAGTATCCTTATCTACCTTTAAGTGATGATAGTAGGAGCAGACACAAATGTCTGATGTATTGGTTTTGGGAGATTACATTTCAGATTTAGGGGTTTAGCAGCGCATACATTAGATATGCTGTATATAACAATATAGCTTTCTGCTTGTTTTTTTAACATGCTGATCATATCAAATTCCAATGTAATCATCATAGGTATTGAATTAATTTAATCTAACTAATATGTAAAGATATATTCTATTTGGAACTCTGGTAAATACTAGCTGCCATATACTGCTCGATTAGAGAGAACTTCTCTCTAGCTTGATCAGTTGAGCTTCAGACTAATAACCCAGATGTCCTGAGTTTGAATCCCAGCGAAAGCATTGAAATAAATAATGACCTCTGTTACATTGGCGCCAATGTCGGGACGCAGGAATATTTGCCCCATAAGCATTGCTTTATCCCCCGGAAAACTTGAGAATGAGTTCTTTCCAGGAGAGGTGGAGGGGCTATGTAACCCTTGTAAATGATAGCATCAGTATACTACTCAGCTAGAGAGAACTTCTCTTCAGCTTGATCAGTTGAGCATCAGACTAGTAAACCAGAGGTCCCGAGTTTGAATCCTAGTGGAGGCATTGAAATAGATAATGATCTCTGTTACAAACTTATATGCTAATAGGAAAGTGTATTGTAAATTCTAACTGAAGATATATTTTCTAAGGTAATATGAAAGGAGATAAGTATGGACAGTGGTGGTAAATATACACAGTAATGTGTTATAATTCCAAGTTACTTGTGTATAGATCATTGGCTTATGCCTAAATTTGTATGTTACATAGGAAATGTTAAAACTCAAGTGTAATGAATGCTTTTTTTTTGGGGGGGGGAGGGGATATATGATACAGATATATGTACTATAATTGATATCATTTTGGTAGGGCTATGATAATCTCCTTTGTGGATTAAGAATTTCTCTGTTGTTGTGTTGTGTTTTATGTTTCTTCCACTACTGTTTATTTCCAGATGTTAACTGTCACTTTTCTTTCCTCTTTCTGTGTTGCTCTCTAACCCTATGTATGTATGTGGAATATAACAGAACTTGTTCATCTAAGGGAGCAGGGCTTGGATGAAAACAATACAAGTTGTGCTTGATGAATTTAACTTCAGTGTTATTAAAAAAACATTTAATACGAACATGAACATTTTTTATTAAATTTGAGGAGAAATACAATTTCTATGCAGCAGTCTGTGGTATCGTATCAGGATCTGTCTTCCAGCACATACACTATATGTTCCTTGTGTGCCACAGAGAACAACATTCTGAAAAAATGTCTGTGTTTTTTTATATGAAGATTGAAAATAAATTTTCCAAATGTTTTGTGATATGGCTATTTATTGTGTATATTAAGAAAGCAGAAATTTGCATTGGATTATAAAACCTACCTTGACACAGATAGATACCTTTTTATTTGGTTTCAATTCTAGTCTTTTTTTTTTTTTTTCATATTTCAAGATTTGATTATTTTGATTTTTATTTGAAATCTTATGTCATTAAGCACAACTGTTTTCTTGTAAAATCACACTTTATTTACAACTATTTTCAACACTTTATTATTTTGTCACCATGGAAACAGAATGTAATCCACCCCTTCCTTGGTGTGTACTGGTTAGATGATTGTTTAAACAAATAAAAAACATCGATGTATGATTGACATCATCACAGCGACTGCATTTCATTTTTTATTTTTTTGTAGCATTACTCAATAAACTTTAAAATTACATGGTTTCCAAGCATTTAGATAAGTTTCCATGGTGACGGTTTTTCCTTTTTTCTTTATTTTTCTAATTTTTCTTTTAACTTCATCCTTTGGTTTTGCGACAGCTCCCTCACCCACGCCATCACGTAAGTCATTCCCATAATCCTCTGCTGCTCTTGCCACGCTTTAAAGCTGACACATTTGTTGATCTGACATATATGTAACCAGGTTGTCTTGACTCAGATAACTTCTTGGTATGTAAATTATATGTAAATTACCTGTAATGATGTGTAAGTATGATATCAGCATGTGGTATTTCAAGTGTCCTAGTGGATGGTTCAGGTTTGTTCAGTGATAGCTAACCACAAATATAATGAACTGTTTTTACTGTTTAAAAGCTTGATTAAGACAAAATCTTCCATGACCTTGTGAAATTACTTCAATATATGTGGCCTTTGGAAACCTATTTCTCTATTTAGTAAAATTTCCTGATAAAGAAATATTGCTTTAATATAAGTAAAAATTAGTGATAATACGAACTAGTTTGCTGGTTATGTTAAATTCTACAGGCAGTAATCTGTATCAAGTTGGACCAGAATTTTTTTTGTAAGACAAGCATTGATCATGTAATGACAGAGTCAGTAGATTAACTATTCATAGTAATAACAACAAACAAATCATCACTGATATACAGGGTCCCTACACCCCTATATTACTAGTCTCCTTCTTCAACCAGCTGCTACCATAAATATAATACATGTTACGTTTCAAAGTTAACAACTGACAAAGGGAGATATTTCTCCATTGTGAAATATGTATTGTATTACCACAGTGGTATTCATTTAAAAAAGAATTAAACTTGTTTATTTTTTTAGTTTTGAGAAATAAATCCTGATTTTGTTTCCAGCAATCAATACGACCGCTGTTAGTATAGTATCAGTACAGGTCTAGGAAGTATCCTGCTACACAGGTAGATCCTACATACTTATGTTATGTGGTATGGTAAACTAACTGAGGCTGCCACCATTGTACATGTATCAGCTTTTAACATCTTAAAAAAAGAAATTGAATTAAGGAATTTTTTACATCAATTTTACAAAATTTTTAATAGAAATTGGCTTGATGTTTGTGTGTAGTTGATTAAGAGTTTTTATTTCCGAACATAAACACCAGCAGAATTGATATGTAAATATTAAGATATGCATGAGGCATAGTTATATTACAGATTTTTCAATTCACAATCAAAATTGACTCTTTGTCAATTTAAATTTGATATGTAAAAATGATAAAAATTCTACTTGAAAGACCATTTCATGTTGATAGCTTGATTTTAAAAGTTTTTATATGAATAGCATTCATTTGAGTGTCATATCAGATAATCGCAAAATTTAAATAAAAGCAATATAATACTGATATGAGTGTAAGATTCTGTTTATCGCATAACTGAAACAGGGTTTATTTTTAAAAACTGACAAAAAAAACTTGTCAATTTCCCAAGATGACCAAATAATTTCAACTCAGAAAATATGATTTACAATCATGTGATATGACTTAGAAACTTTTGTTATTGTGGTATGTACCAATACAATATCTATAACACATGGTCGAACAAGTTAATAAAGTTGTAAAACTGTTTACTGACAAGAATTCAATAAATATTTATGAAGAAGGTGGCAGGAAGTTTGTGAATAATTTCCTAAAGGCATATTACCATAACATACTTTGGTAGTTTTATGTAATGCTAAAGTTCTGGTAAATTAGAAAAATTACCGAAATTGCTTTGTTCTATACCTATTGGAAAAGTATTAAACAGACAATACAACTCTCTGTCAGTCTTCATGATCATATAGGATCACAAATGATCTTATGTTAAATAGAGCCCCTTTACATAATTCATTTTATGATTTGATACGGAAAATTTGTGTATAATTATGTCTGTATAAAGGTTTGAAAATTTAAAGATGAGCTACTCTATCTCCAGCAGGATCTTAGCAATTTGTAATGGTCTCCAACGAAAGCTTTTGTTTAGAATTTCCTTGGTTGGTTACAGGTTTTTTGTCTCAGTGGTCTCCCTATCACCACGCATTGCCTCACAATCAGGCATCAGTGTACTAGCAAAATTTTCCATGTTTAGCAAGCCTACCCATTGTTATCACTAGCTGTGCACTAGAATTTCAAATAGATACTGTTACATTGTCCTGTAATAAACTAACCTGTTGAGTTTGGCGGTTATGTGTTTGGCCTGTGGGTTTACCACAGGATAAAAAAAGAATACAAACAGAATGTGCCGCACCATAATTTTATCACTGTGTGAAGATGTTGTAGAATTTAACACAACATTTGGAAAATTAAGTCCCATCATTATTTTTTAACTAGTTGTTCAAAGCTTGAAATGGTTTTTTTCACTGGTAACAGTTCAAGTTTGATTTTCTCCTGATTTCCTGTTGGTACAGTTGTTTGCACTTAAAGGTGAGTAAATACACCGAATCTCAACATGTACTTGAAATTTTTCACCTTAAACAGTAACACAAGAAGAAAGGTAGTCAACTCCGGAATTTGTGTTTTGTATCTAATACATGTAACAATGTGGCTTTTTCTTTCAAATTTAGATAGAATTTTAATTTCATGTATTACACAATTTTTTTACACTTTAAAATCTGCATTAGATTTATGGCCACACGTCAACCAAGGTTTGAATTTATTACAGGACATTGCAATAGCATTTGTACAGTAATCGATTTCGTATAAGTGGATTCCTTTCATGGCATGGATTTATCGCCTAATAAAACCAGGATTTGTTTTGGTCACTGACACCAACAGTTCAGTGATTAAGTAATTGACCTGTATATAAATCCTTACACATGTCTGTGGTACAATAGTATCTATGGATTTACCCGAATTAATTATCTCGCACACTGACAAATTTACGTTCAAGTATGTACTGAGGTATTGATACATGAAATTGATCAGTACCAATATATTTAAGTTTGATATACATTGTATTTTACGTATAAAAGGATAATTTTTTTTTGAGATATTTTAGAAATATCTGTCTAAAATAAAGTTTTAAACTTTTTTTGTTTGAAGGTCAGAAACGCTTAAGCTCGAAATGTGGTAAATTTAACAGTTCACTACATTCTGTATGGTCCGAAATCTTCAGCATGGTGATTTAGACTTTAAAAAATTCTGTCTTTTTTCTGTATGTACTTTTTCTACTTTGATTAATTGATATAGATGATTCTCAATTAATTTCACACTGTCATTTTCAAGTTTTAAAAAGTTAAATAATTTAATTAATTTCCTTGTATTGGGCAATCAGCTCTGATAAGTGCCGATCTATTGGGCATTCGGTGAGACTCTTGTCCTTATCAGGGCAGTCACTTCTTTCCATTTTCTACCTGCCTGGCAATCAGTTGTGGCCAATTAAGGAGCAAATTCTTTAAGTTAAAGAGGAATCTTAACACTTTGGATCAATTCTTAAAAAAAGAAATTAAAAGATAAAGTGAGTTGAGCCTGATTAAAGTATCACAGTGCTCTCAGAGTCATCCATTGTTTGTCAAATTTAGTCAAATGAGAAATACCAATTAAAAATCATCATTATTATACCTTCTGTGTTGTTGATCATCTGGCTCCTGTTAGTTATTAAAATGTGTAACTCGTTATTCTACTCCGAGGGCCAAGCTGTATACTGTGGTACTTCCGACTTTCTATATGTAAGATATGAATACAAGCTATGGGACTGATTGTTATTTAACCTGAGGTCAGTCATTGGCTGGTCACAACTCTGTATCCCGATAACACAGCATTGTTACTTTCTATAGCTGTACAAATAGGTATCCACATCTACTGACCTTACGTCAATCAGTGGTTGATCACTCAAATTTCCATAAGAGTACCCAGCTGTACTAGTCTGTACTAGCATCTGCATGTTTTTTTTTTATATGATGACATTAAATGATGTCAGAAGTTCTGACTGGTAATGGATTTTTTTTATACATTTATAGCCCACCATTGTTAGATTGTTGGCTGTACAAGTCGCCTTTTATCAGTTGTCTCTCTATCTGTAAACAATCCTTTTTTTCAATATTTTGAGGAATATTCCTCATATCTCATATTGTCACTTTAAACTTGAATTATGAGTCCCAACAGTGAAACAAAATGGCTGACAGGTGGCCATCTTAGATTTTGAGAGCTAAAGTTTGTTATCACAGATGTACCCATTCAATTTTGAATCAGATTGAGAAAAAAATGGCCAAGAAATAGCCATCTTGGATTGTTGAAGTTTGTTGTGGCTAGTTCTTGAGAAGTACTGAGATGATAATTCTCAAATAGATAGTTCTCCTTAGTCTTTAATTGTGTTAGTTCATTTTTAAGAGTGAACAGTGTTGACAGTTGAAGTTTGTTATTGCTTTTTCCTGAGAAGTACTAGAAGAACTTTTCTGTAACTGGACATGTTGGTGTTCAAATATAAAACTAATTCAGGAAAGAAAATGGCTGATAAGTGACCATTTTTTTTATTTTGACATTTGATTTTGGTTATCAACTATTTCTAAAGGTACTGGAAAAACATTTTTCAAACTTGATATATATGTTTCCATCTGTTTTACATTATGCATGTTCAGTTTTATGACTGATCAGAAAAAATGGCTGACAAAGTCATCAATGATTTGGCAAATGAAGGATGTTACTGCTGTTTGTTGAGAAGTATTGGAAGGATATTTCTCAAACTTGTCCCCACTTCCAGTCTGTAGTCTGTGCAGGATCAATTGTCATCGAAATTGGAGACTATATGGAGTAGAATTTTAAAATTGTTGTCAAAATGTTGCAATGGTTCCAATTGTTGAACTCAAGTTTGTTAGAGGGATGGAAAAGAAGAGAAAACGAGAAATCACATCCTTCCGAAAATTTAAAAAAAAAAAACAAAGCAAAAAAAAAAAACAATTAATGATCTTACAATGGTGGGTGCCAAGATCCTTTTGGAATCTTTTGTTTATTTTTGTTGCAATATTTTTTATTCCAAAATCAGAATAGTGCAACATGCGCAGGGTTTGGAATCTTTTTATTGGTTTTTGCAAGCTGGTGATGGTACATAAAACTTCTGAAAGGAGCCTATTACACAGACTGAATGATGATTACATGTATTTATAACATATATATTGGAAGGTTACTGGTGGGCGTCTCCTGTCATGATGATAATGTGAAATATAATGTTTGCTTTGTTCCTTGCAAGTTAAAGGTCTGTCACAATGATATATGCTGTTTTCTCAGTTAAACTAGCATGACTCATTTGCTTACATGTACATAAGGTTGTTATGTTGAAAATAAATCTTCTAAAACAAAAACTCAGATATCAAACCATGAGCTATGAGGCAGTCTGTTTGCATGAGAAAGAGACATAGTTATACTTCTGTAGGTGAATGCATAGAGGTTAACATGCATCCCATATTAACCCTCACAATTAAAGGGACACAACTCTTAATCATGGTTAAGACAATGTGATAACATGTTTTCACTTCAAGCATTTTTTTCTCACTCGCATTATTCATTTAATTTTGGTTTAACAGTATCATCACATTATGTTAAAATCAAACATAAAATTAATTTCATTTTGATTTATAAGATACAACACACATATATTTCTGTTTAGCCGTTTATTTTTCATTCAAGTAATTTTGCTTGCTTTAGTTCATGGATTTTTAGACTATTTAGCAAACTCATGAGATAGATTGAAAATGTAGTTATAGTTTGATTATTTCATGGTATGTTTATTTAACACTGAACTGTTATATCTTCTTCAGATGGCTATGCCTTCTCACAGGAAGAACATGGTGTCCTTACTCAGGTTTGTACAGGGTGTATTGACTTACCATTCCAAAGTAACATAACCATTCCATTATCAAATCTACAGTCTTCAAAGGTCAAAAAGTGACACATCAGGAGGCATTTTTACAGCCTTAAGGAAACTTTTAGCTTTGAATTTTTTTTCTCTGGAACTCATATGCAACATTATGTCTCCTTTTGGCCATTTCCCTTCACAACATAATCTTTACCCTCGCTCAGATTAAAGTGTCATTGTTATACAAAGTCTGCAGGGTCCTCTTCTGTATTAAGATTAATGCATATCCGATGTCTTAAGTAAAGTGTGAATTACAAAAAAAAACGTATATCTTTAAATAACAAAGATAAAATCAAACATTTATTCTGAAATTGTTATAATTATGCATGGAACAAATAAATATGATGGCTGAAACAGCATTAGTTTCAGAAAACAAGACATTACCCAGAGGTCCAGCAATATGCTCATTCTGATGTACCACAAATATCATTCAAAACCATACAGGAACTGTAAGATCGAGTCAAAATTTTGTTATGAACTTTTGAAAGAATTTAGAATGAAGGAAATTGCATTTATGAAACTGTTTGCACTTTTCAGGCGGAACTCATCCGAGTTTATGACAGCAATAAAGAGAAGCCCGAGGGACTTTAATATGACTATCAGTATTACTCCCTGTTGTATCCCTGCTACTGTGATGTGTCCATGTAGCTAGTGTCAGCTATCATCAGGATTCCATCAACTTATCAGACTGGTCAGCCATCACTCTGTCAGAACCGATCAACTTTCACACTCAGGACTGGTCAGCCATCACACTGTCAGGACTGGTCAGCCATCACTCTGTAAGGACTGGTCAACCATCACACTGTCAGGACTGGTCAGCCATCACACTGTCAGGACTGGTCAACCATCACACTGTCAGGACTGGTCAGCCATCACACTGTCAGGACTGGTCAGCCATCAAACTGTCAGGACTGGTCAGCCATCACACTGCCAGGACTGGTCAGCCATCACACTGCCAGGACGGGTCAGCCATCACACTGTCAGAACGGATCAGCCATCACATTGACAGGACTAGTCAGTCATCACACTGTCAGAACTGGTCAGCCATCACACTGACAGGACTGGTCAGCCATCACACTGTCAGAACGGATCAGCCATCACACTGACAGGACTGGTCAGCCATCACACTGTCAGTACGGGTCAGCCATCACACTGTCAGGACTGGTCAGCCATCACACTGACAGGAGTGGTCAGCCATCACACTGTCAGGACTGGTCAGCCATCACACTGTCAGGACTGGTCAGCCATCAAACTGTCAGGACTGGTCAGCCATCACACTGTCAGAACTGGTCAGCCATCACACTGACAGGACTGGTCAGCCATCACAATGTCAGGACTGGTCAGCCATCACACTGTCAGGACTGGTCAACCATCACACTGTCAGGACTGGTCAGCCATCACACTGTCAGGACTGGTCAGCCATCACACTGTCAGTACGGGTCAGCCATCACACTGTCAGAACGGATCAGCCATCACACTGACAGGACTAGTCAGTCATCACACTGTCAGAACTGGTCAGCCATCACACTGACAGGACTGGTCAGCCATCACACTGTCAGGACTGGTCAGCCATCACACTGTCAGTACGGGTCAGCCATCACACTGTCAGGACTGGTCAGCTATCATACTGTCAGTACGGGTCAGCCATCACACTGTCAGGACTGGTCAGCCATCTCACTGTCAGGACTGGTCAACCATTGCATTATTAAAGCCAATAAGCCATTTAAGCCATTTTGATCAACAGACTGTCAAAAGTTTTGGACTAGCTGATTAGCATACACTTATCATCATCTGACTCTACAATCATGATTGACTATCGGACAGTTGGAATCATTTGACCTTTAGATCATACAGTTGTAATTACCTAATCATAACAGTGAGTGTTACCTGAACAAGCATACATACAGTTGGATAACCTGACCTACTTACAAGCAAGACCAGTGAACATCATACAGATTATAATTTTAACACCATACAATTAACCTTACCACCATACAGATAGGATACCTTGACCTACACACAGGCCAGATAAGTGATAACCATACAGATTTTTTAACACCATACATCTGACCATCATACAAATTATTTAGCAGACCAGTACGCAGTGTATTTTACAGCGAGTGTAAAACAGACTTCCCACCAGTTTAAATCAGTTTATTTATGAATGAGAGCGGAGAGTATATATATCTAAATATCACCTTATTGTCATGGCTTTATGGTGAAGGAATGACTGACGAGAATTGTGTTTGTGGCCAAGTAGTTTTACATAATTCTGATGTCTCATTGTAATCTTAAAGATGAAAAGATTTTTTTTACCATTATATCCATACTTCAGTAACACATTAAACCAGAATATGCTGAACTGCACACTTTTGTCTATTTATCTCTGTGGGACACAATCAAATATATAATTATCAGTTTTAACCTGGTTTTTACTGAGTCAATCAACAATGCTGTGTTACTTATAGAGGATAAATTCAGGTATACCACTGACCGATAATGTCCTGGAAATTCTACTGACAAAGCTGTGTTTGACTGCCCACATCTTATACAGAATCATCATTCAACTTCAGTCTATTAGCATAATATTTGAAAATGAAATGGTCCCATTGTTATAAGCAAAAAATGATTTAATTCATTGAGTCTATGTATGATAGATGAACATTTATTATTCTGTTTATCTTTGTCCTAATATTTGTTATCATTCAAGAAGGGTTGATGTTTAGAGATCATAATGTAGTGGAGTTCACATGGAAGTAATAACTGGAGATGTTCATATTTTATGTGAAGAAATATTTTATTGAAATTGATCTCTTAACTGTTCATAACTTATATATTACAAACAGCACTATCATGCAAATATTCATTTTGCAAATTTTGGTTGTAAAAAGTTTAATAGAAATGAGTATTGATGAAGGTGAAATACCTGAGGCTGTAAATGATTTTTCTGCCAAGCACTGTATTGTTTTGTTTTTAAACAATTACAGACACATCTAGGAAAGAAACAGATGAATCATCAACACCATTGATAATATCATTATAGAAAAATATTCATTTATCCAAGCTAAAATAAAACTGTCAACAGAACCCTTTTTTTAAAGATTTTTTGCTAAATTTTTGTCAATTAGATTTTACAGAATGATATTAATAACTGGCTCATTTTCACCAGAGAATGATCAAAAGTGAAGATTGGTATCTAGTGAGTGAATGACAGAAAGGCATATATTGTGGATTGCCTCCCTTTAATCTTGAGTCGAAATGTATGCTTGGAATCAATCATTCAAGATGATATTTTTTTTGTCTTGTAAAAGTAAATCTGTATGTAACTCTTATACTCCAGCTTCTCCACAAGTTTCAGTTTCGGGTATGAATTTGTCAAGCGGGTGGATGTTTCAGATGCTACCATTTATATAAGAAAATGTATTACCAGGTAGTGTTTTTTGTTCAGAATGATATTGTTTGAAAAATATATTAATATATATATATGTACAGATGTATACAAATCATTTCGTTCTTGTCTCAATTTTCCCTTTTATCTAATCATACGTATTTTTGATGTTTAAGTGATGCTGGGATTTAATAGTTTATTGTAAATATTTCTTAAACTGTCACTCAAGTCCTTATTAGATAATAAATTCTAGTTTAATGTTAGCACAGGGTCAATCATACCATTCAGTCATATTAACAGAAGATTTATGATAGTTTTACATTCATCTTTCTTTGATGTATCATTTTATCTTTAAAGTTGGCAAGTGTGCAGCCATATTACAATACAATAGAAGCTATTTTACAGATGTCTAGGATCTTGCAGGAATTTCTCTTTGATACAAGTTTATCTAACAAGCTTTTAGAATTTTTTTTGTTTTATTAAGCCTTTGCCAAGCTGAAATGAAACATTTTTCGTAAGTAATACCAAAATTAATTTAAGATTAATTTTTTAATTGCTGGATGAATTGTTCAGGCAAATGTTGTAGAAAACATTTTGATGTCTGAAGTCATTTAACACCACATCTGCTATATCTGTATGATATATACATTGTTATGTCATAATACAATCTGTGACTGTGTGACGTCATTTGATTATCTAGAACTGATGCCATAATCGGCTGTTTTTTGTTTTACCACCTGCTATATATTGCCAACAATCTCATTCCACACATCATTTTTTTATTATATAAATTCAGCCCCAAAATTGATTTTAACATCAGCCTTATTAACATTTTGATAACAAAACAATTTTTCCAGTAAAACTGATATGTGCTGACAGCTTGTATGCATAGTATTTTAAGAATGGCTGTTGTCATGAATATCATAAGAAACCTTGTAGCAGTTTTCTTCGAAAGTCAGGTATGATATGAAAAAATAAAAATTATCTAAAATATTTCGTAACTGAAGTTTCTATCTGTGATAGTTTTGTGCCTGTGCTTGAAGTTCCCATCTTTCTCGTTTTCTGCTTTCTAGTCATATTGTTATGTGCCATGTCTGTCTTTGTTGACACTGCAGCCAATCAAAAATTGTATCTCAAGTTGATCAGAATTAACAAATCCATCTAAGTGTAGTTATAATTATGATATTTGGTAATTCTAATTCCATTAGTTTACTACAGATTTAAATCATAACACGTTGATTTTGTAAAACCTTATTTATGGTGGTTTTTTCAATGAAGATAAACATGGGTCTTTTTCTCTTTTTATTCTGTGGGGAAGGGGTGGGTTAAATTGAAAATTTGAGAATTTATTTGAAACAAAAAACAGGTTTGGTGAAAGAGTTTGACTGATTGGGTTTCTGTTGTAATATAATATATAAATTGGTTTAGATATTGACCTTGCTCTGCTGTATTATCCTGTATAGTGAGAGTATCCTGTAGAAGTATTGTAAATTCATTAACACAATAAGTTCAACCATGGTGACACCATGTCTCCTCGTCACTAGGTTTCTGTTTGATGGAGGGAAATTTCATATGATCTTGTTAATTACAGTCAGTCATGTCTTCTTTTTAAGCAGTATATTCACAAAACCTGCCTAAGTATCATAAACAAAACCACACAAAAAGGCAGATATTTAATACATAGTCATTTCATAAATTCAGACTATTTTTCATAAACTTTCGTGCACAAAAATTGCTTTATAAATCAAATAATACATGTAATTAAATCTTTGTAGAGTTATTGGTATAGCATATTTTCACTTATCAATTTTAAATTCAACTTAATGTTTTTTTAATTTATTGAAATTTATAATTCATATTGGTCATACAAATATAGAAACTGTAATAAGAGTATTGTTATTGGTTAGCTGTATCATGTGACCTGTATTATAGGTTATCTGCCTGTATTTTCAGGCTACCCATACAGATATGGGTATGGGTAATAATGATGAAATTATTGGTAAAGTTGTTTACCTGTATTATGGATAATTGTATTAATTGTGGGTTTCCAGTGTTATTTGGATAACCTGTATAATTGGTTACCTGTGTCATAGATTACCTGTGTTAGTAGGGTTGTCTGTATTATGGTGTGCCTGTGTTATTTTATCTGTAATATGGATAAATTGTGTTGTTGTTTACCTGTATACTATGTAACATGTAAACAATAGTTTCTTTTGTATATTTCAGGAGACATAAGGTATAAATGTTTTGTATTTCTCTTTAGTAATTGCTTTAATCGCAGTTATTTTTTTTTTTTTTTTTTGTAATTTTGTTCTTGGTTTCCAAGTTACACCACAGAGTCTGTGTTTATACATGGAGTTTTCTGTCAAGTCCCCTGATCTAAAACTGTTAGTTTTTGTAAACTGACATGTTTGTGTTGATGCATTTACATAGAAATCGGAAATAAATCTCTCTTTTTTTTCAATTTGAATTTGTCTTAATACTTTTTCTACAGCAAATTCTTGGAGCAATGTCAAAATAGATCAATCACTTTGGAGACAGTGAATCGAACCATGGATAGCTCTTTGAGTTCTGGGGTTAAGTAGATGTAGCCTCTTTAGGCTGACAAAATTAAGATTTGTCTTCAGTGATGGATTTTCTTCTTGCAACAAACTGGTCTCTTTGCCACCAATTCTGCCCATCTGACATTCTGACAGGGCAGGAGCACAAAGTTTTACAATGTCCAACAAATACCTCTGCACTTACCATCTGATAAAGGTTACTCTTTTTTTCCCCAATTATAACCAGCGTTTATGACACATCAATTCATGTAAGTAAAAACTCTAAAAGAAACCTTCTTTCAACATTTTATTCAGATTTGTATGATCGAAAAAAGTTCTACAACAATATCGCCAATGTGGAGAATGATAAATGTATTATTTACATATGATAATGACAGAAGCACTGAATACCTTAATACAACAAAAAATATACCAACTACTGAAAAAGAGAAATGACCCTTACATTGGTATTGATAATAGACCTTTTAAAGACTTTTATCATATATTTAGGTAAAAGTCACAGGATGCATATGCCCCAAACAAAGTTTCTATTTTGACATTAAAATTAATTTTTAAAAACAGTTGTCTCATTCCTCAAGTTACTAGAACAATTTTAACAAGGAAATATAACAAAAGAAAACACCCTTTTACAACGCATCAACAGTAAAGCATAGTTAGGAATATTTAAGTTCATCATTCAAATTCCAAGTCCCAAGACTTGCCCACAGGGAGCCCAATTACTTACCAGTAATTCAATAAGTTTGACAAACATCTCAAATCTCTGACTTTCAAAGTAGCACAAAGTAAAATTCATTTGAAAGAATTTCATTCAAATCAAATGACACCATAGGAAATTTTATTTACGTACAGATATACCAGAGTAATGGGTCTTGTCCAACTTAGAAAGTTAGCAATAAAAATTGATCATACCATCTTAAGTTCATCCTAATGAACCTTGTTCCCAACTATGATCATTGCCAGTCATTTAGTGATGTTACCAGCATTTTGAAGCAGATTATGTCAATTATATCCATTTTTACTTCCAGTTATTCCTTTATGAAATAACAATGGGCCTGACAAGTCTTATTTTTTCTGTTTCTTGTTAGCCTCAATACCCCTTGTAGCCTGATACTGGATAAATAGAACATTGTATGTTTCTTGATTTAATATCCGGTAATATTATAATCTAGCAGACAATGGATGGGCGAAGCACCGTGGTTTAAAGTTTAAAGGCACTTTGTGCCAAGCCAGCTAATATTAAACATGTTCCTAGTAGCATATGACCAATATAACAACAAGCATAAAACCTCTGATGAAGTTTGTACAGGGGAGGGGACTATTTAGTTAAAAAGTAGTGCTTACAGAATAACTCCACATTATAAAGTTAAAACATTTGCCTTTAAAAAAATATTTACAACAAAACAAATATTTTAAACTAATGTCATGATTTTTACATACATCTCAAGTAATGTATATATTTGCGACCTTCCACTTCATCAAGCTGGAATATAGAATGCCTTTAGCAAGTGAAATTGGCTTAAAGACAGTTTCCCTAGGCCTGTGCTATGACAACAAATGATTTTCTCTAACTCTAGCAAAACATAAAAAAGTTTCCATATGTTGCCTTAGTTTTTAAAGTTTCATAAACTCTTGATAAAACATGGAAAGTTCTTGTAAAATGTCAGCCATAGTTATTGAAATCAGAAATTTGATTCATCATTGGGAAGACTGGCCCATATGATCCAACAAAAAGGTGGCAATGCCTCCTTTCATTAAATGAGTTCTTTTTAAAAATAAATGTCTATTCATCATCATCCTCCTCCTCCTCATCATCATCCTCTTCCTCCTCATCGTCATCATCTTCCTCATCATCATCATCCTCCTCTTCTTCCTGGGCTGCGGCTTGTGGTGCTGCAGTTTTTGCTTTTTTAGCTGGCATCAGTTGATCTAGGGAGACATCGGAGAAGGACTTGCCTTGTTTGTACTGCTCAGATTGCTGCAAGTAAAATGTCCAAGTTAAAGCAAACAATCTGCATCACAGAAAATCAAAGAAAATTTCTGGTTAAGCATGATATCATTGCTAAAACATTTGGCATACAGAAAGCAGTTTGCTGAAACCACCAGCATACATCGTTACCTAATCCTGATATTGTTAACAAGTTTCATAATCTTTTTAATCACCACAATATATAAATGAATATGCCAATATTACTGCAAATCTCTATCATTTCACAGAAGTTTGATTTATTATTTTTACAGACTACTGAATTGTTGTTTTGAAATAGGTTTTTGAATTTAATTCATTTTATCACATTGCAGCAAAAAATCAGTTTCATCTCTTTCTTACTTAAACCTCACCTCCACCCTGCAAATTCATAATGGAATAATTCTGGGTTATGAATAATGGAAAAGATAATTCAGGGAGTCAGATCCCCCACCAACATATTGACTAACCACGATGAACCAATACACTTCAGTATGAAGTTCGAGTGCTTAGAAGTGCAGGAGATAGTCTTTTTCTTTGATGTAGGTCACAGGTCTGAATATAGGTCAATAACCTATATTGATACATGACACTTCATCCTACCAAAGAGAACCAATACCCCAAGTTTGTGGTTGCAGAAGGATGGATCGACAGAAAGATGGAAGGATAGCTTATGTAATTAGTGGAATTTCGAAAAACACAACAGATCAAGCCTTCACTTAAATATAAATCTTAGTCCAATTGTCAATCCTGATACAAAAGGGAAGCGATGAATGTTCAGCTTGCAACTATCTGTATTGCAATGTACTTTCCTTGTCTAGTTAGATCCACCTTATGCAGAACCGTAACACCACTAATCACATACAGGTGAAAAAATATAAGCAGACGTTTAAAATATTACGAAATTACTTCCCTCTATCAAAGAGCTTGACAGTTAGGAGTTTGTCATGAAATTAACAACTTACTATTTCATATCTTTTCTTGTCTGCTATAGCTTTCTGTTCATAGAACGCTCTGTTTGGACATTTCTCCCATTGTCTGCCTAGATCCTTGGCTACATCTGCTACTGTCCAGTTGGGGTTCTTTGCCTTCACTTTTCCTCTCTCATCAGCACAGAAGAAAAAGAATGCAGACCTGTGGCAAACAATACAAGATTCTTAAAATTCTTCATTTTTTTTACAATTATGGCAACTTTAAATATAACCATCATCCTAAGGATACTTAATACCCCTCAAATTATAATATATGTTGAATGACCAAGGAGTAACAGCCATTAATAGTTACCATGGCAACCAATATTTCAGAAAGATCAAAGTGTCGAAGACATCCATAGATGCTGTGTATGATGTGTTTAAATAAAGTTGTATATCAGTATAGAATTGAAGAAAATAACTGAAGACACTTCTTTCATCTGGACTTTTGATGCAAATCAATGAAATGGTGTTCAAAGTGAAGGAATATATATATGGTAGTTAAAATGGCTTTTTTTATTCTATTATATACCAACACAAATATATCTACAAGATTCAGAGGTTACCGGTACACTAGTAGTGGTGGTTGCGGAAACCATTAAGAAGAATTCAAGCTATAGGCCTAATTCAAACCCCAGCAGCTAGGAGCTGTGTTTTTCGTGACTCATTCCACCTACATATGTATATAATCCAAGAAAATCTTAACGTTTTCATCTTTTAGCTTAAATACCACTGATCAGGCCTTTAAAAAATGAGTTGATAAATCCTTGCACACGAATGTTCATGTATCACAAGAAAGTACAACATATACTCAATTTAGAAGACGGATGACTGATATGTGAAATGTTAGAACATAATGCAAGACCGTACATATTACCATTGATTAAGGCATTAGCATCACAATAATCACTATGTGGTCACTATCCGCATCAACGTTAAACATGGAGAAGCAAGCTCTAAATGGTCATTGTAAGCAATTGATAGGGTCAGATTACACGCATACAATTAGCACTGATGTGTAGTGTGGTTTATTTCGCAACTGGCCATAACATTGTGCACTTGCCACCCGACATAACTCGAGGCCAAAAGCTAAGCAATCAATAAATATATTCGAACCATAGGGATGTCTTTTATCAAATCTAGACTGTCCTTATAATTGTACGATTTATGAAATTTTTAACAAACATTAATCTGTAGTCATATTAAGTCCCATTGCACACCCCACATACAGTTATGTCACGGCTAATTTCCACCAGTTTACTAACATATATTGCAATGCAGAAAGTGTTCTAGAAATTGATGTCTATACAATCAATCCCCCATAAAATGCCATGTCTGATCAGTAGGTCCTTGCCCTTCTAGGAAGGTTTTATACACTTTGTCATGTTTTTGGGCAAGATCGACCCTGAAAGTTTGAACTATCAATTTATTTTTTTCATGAGCATAATTTTGTATACGTAGAACAAGTTCAACAATATTTACATTAATTTTGTTCAAAATGACCAAAGGTATACCATTACCATAACATCAAATAAGCAAAAAAAATCATAAATAACCTGGTACCTATTAGCTGAAGCCTAAATGGCTCTTCACGATATGCTGTTAATTAATAACACGGCCTATAAGCTTATGACAAAACATGAACAAGTAATGAACACTGTTGTCTATGTAGTATACCTGCCACATCTTAATTTCTTTAAGCCATATATCTTTCACTCTAATCCTTTTCTCATCCATGCCTACGAACAAAGTTTACCACCAGAATTTATCATAAAAAGCAAACTCTACTCTAGTCAGTGTTGTTTCATATTAGAATATTGTAATATGATTTTCAAAAAAAGAAAAAGTACTTCACATGTCTAAAACACAAATCGTGAAAGAAACTTGTTCTCTGAGACGTACTGACCTAAAATAATTATGTACTGATACCAAATCTAAACCGGTACTGAAAACGAAACAAAAATAGAAATTTTCGGTTTTTAAATTATATTGGATATCAGTTACCCTTTATAATATATATGATCAGCTATGCAACACTAATAACTACACAGAATAATCGAAAAAATATTCAAACATCTTTTTATTCATTTTGTGGTGATCTTTCTAAAATGTTTTGAATGTATGGACTAAGGGAGATAAATCTAAAAAAAAGTTCAGACAATACAAAATATGACATTTATAGGTTTTCTTATTAATACTGTATACGTATGTTCATTAAATACAACAACTACTTCAGGAATATATTTCTAACCACATTTAATATCCTTTCCCCCGCCCCCGAGTCATATGCATATTTTTGGGCCTTTTTGATTAATTTGATTCAGACTAAAAATAGCTTAACTTGCAGCTGATCCAGGACCTGGCTATAGATGCAGAATGTCCTATAGACATAGTGACTAAATAAAAGTTGCATGCACATCTACATATGATCCCCTATGTTTATAAAATGGAGTTTCTGTGGAATTGGTTCATCAGTTTAGGAGGAGTTCTCCAGACAATATTTGATGTTATTACAACTTGATGTTATATTATGGTTTGAATATGAACTTAAATCTGCTGAGGTATTCATGATATGTCCTGAACAAAAATGATTTTTTCCAATTAAAGGGTGTCTATAACAATTACATTAATCAATAACTACCAAACTTTCATAAGTAAAGCATATGTTAAATACTACTGGTGTGAATTTCAACCCAAGTTATTTCCTAACTGGGTATTTTCATTTTAAATTGTGTTTTCTCTCATTTTACTACATATAATTGTTTTCTTAGTTTAAGGTTACAATTACTATATCATTAAAAATTCAAACCATGTAAAATAAGTCCAGCTTTTACACAATTAAAATGCAAAGTCTTCTGCATGTCAGTGTTTTTTTTTTTTTGCTTTAACAAATGTATTTTTTTTTATCATTAAAATGAATCCTCCAGATCTTATGAGATGTCAAATGCTGAAAAAGGCCATGTTCAGCAAGGAAGATGAGAGAGAATGGTACTTGAAATTGCATGTCATATTTTCAATCAGATTTCAATGAAATTGCACTTCTGTTCAAGTGAAGAAATAAAATTTTGTCACATAATACTTACAATGACCGTTTAGGTGCATTGGGGTCCTTTGTTCTCTTTCTGCTCTTCTTTTCACCTTTTGGAGGTACATATGTTCGCATCTGAGCATCATACCGCACTTTATCTTTCTGAGCCATATCTTCAAATCGCATCTTCTCCTGGGCAGACATTGTCTAGATGACCAGTGTAAAATAAAAGCAAATTATTCAAACTGAAGTACCAGAGTCAGACTTTTGGTTGGATTATTTTACATAAAACTAATCATTATAAGGCTAATATGGACCTTTCTGTATACAATATTCTTGAATATGTTGAAATTAATTATGTATTACCTGCACCTAAATGCATATCCCTCTTTTGCAAGTAAGAGGATGAATGTGTACATGTACTAAATCTACACTGCACATACCAAAGGGTCATCTCTGTCATAGAAATTACTACCATTATCATATTTGATAAAACTCTTACTGTCTTATAGCTATTAAATGTGTTACAGAATACTTATAAAACCTTCAATTTGTGTCAGCGTTACTATCCTTGATGAAGTGTGCATGGCACATGTTGATTCTACAAAAATCACTGAATTTTATACCCATTTAAAGTGACTTGCATGTGCATATATCTTGTGATTTGCACCGAAATGTATCTAATATTGCGTTCAATTCTGACAGAGACTTAACAAAGAGACAAAAGACTTTCATCCATCTCACTATATAAATAACAGTCGGTGTCATTTAAAGACTTATAAACACATAGTATATAATCAGATGATACTTTTTCGAGAGCTTTGAAAACCGAAAATTGTCACCTTTGATTTTACATTGAAGTCTTAACAAACAATACAGTTGCAGGGTTTTTCTCTCCAGTCTGACCATAACAATGAAACTATATGGGACTGACATGAAAACTAACATCAAGTGGTCACTGACAATGCAGTTTCAGGAAGCTAATTATGTTTTTTCTTAGTATGACTCTCCCATCTGATTTCCCACAAGTAACATTAAAGAGCCAATAAGAAGATGCAATTCCAGAATCTATGATTCAGCAGTTTTTTTTTCAAATCCTCATTATACATAGATTTTTTCTGTAGATTTAATAGTGCATAATTCTAATGTTTCTGCAAGTACATAATTATTATCAGTCAAATTTGGTATTGATATTTCATTCACACAGGTTTATTTTGTTTTCATCAAAGTTACAAAAATGAAATATATCATGTCTCAAATTTAATCGAATAACAGTTAGAGCAGTATATACCTAGATTTCAAAAGTCAAAGAATGCAATACTAAATCCTTACATACCTTCCATTTCTCTGCACACTTCTTTGTGAATTCTGCAAACACTACTTTTTCTCCAGGGTGAGCCTTCTTGTGTTCTTCTCTGATTGTTTGTACAAAGAAAGCATAGGATGACATCCGCCCCTTGGGCTTCCCTGCCTCATTCCTTCCAACCATATTTTCTGTAATTCCTGAAAATAGACAGTTACTAAAAATGACACAGCTCTTTGTCTTTTATCTCCATTTACTTGTACCATAAATCTAACAAGTTATTTGTCACCTTGAAGTCTGATGAATTGTATATTTTACTAAGAATCTCTTGAAAGATCTAGTTGTAAATTTGTTTGGCTTTAGAAACCCAAGACTTCAGATGACTTAGATGACACAGGAAAAATCAAGAAAACTGAGAGGTAATAGAACAGTTTTCATCAAATTAAAAAAAAACTACTTATACAGGAATTCATTTCATTTTTAAGGGGCCAATAGCCTCTTGACCCCCTCAAGAATTATCAGGGATGATGCAATCGATGTCTGCCATCTAGTTGCAATTGCTTTGACATGTCATTTTGACTTATTGCAAAAAAATAGCTGTCTAATCCAAATAGCAGCCCCCAACTTTCCCCTCTGCTGCTTTTTTAAACTGAAAACTCATTGGCATATAACTTGGTCTGCGTGTTGCATGTAATTTAACTTCTGTCCAAAGTTTAAATGTCATGGTGGAATGTCGGATTCTGAATATGTTGCATATACTCTTAGGGAAAAGTTCCCTGAAAGTGGACCGATAGATAAGTTACATCTTACAAAGCTCCCTGCCCAACCCTGCTTGCTTACTTAACACTGGGTTTGCAGTGGCTAACAGAGGTCCTGTTTAACAGAATTATTTTGAATGGAATTCCTTAAAATATCTGGTATTTATCATGTCTGTGCTTCAAAAACTCAAAGACTTATAGGACAGATCAAATGCCAACTCTTATCAATATTTAATCACTACATTGAATTACTATCATTATGTAATCTGTATTCAACAAAAGGAATCACATGCAATGATATTGCTGATTTGTTCATCACAGTCTTTTTTTCCCCACATTACCGAAAAAGCTATGCATTTTGCAAATAACTGCAATAACAACTGCAACATGTTGATCAGTACACATTTGTAATATGACCTGCCCTGGCTCAATGTTTCCATGGTAACATAATTCAATTAAATCATTTACATCGTGGTACCACCAAAGAGAGATGGAAAATTGTCATTTTAGATCTCCTTTCAGTCTAAATAAATTTGTCAATTGTGTATGTTACGTGATAAAGTGTAGCTTACCTTTGTAACAATTTTTTGTTTATTTTACCTCAATTGACAACAGGTAAACAAAAATTCCAAGTCACATTTCATCAATCTCATATCAATTTAAGAATGGAAACTTAACAGGAACGACACTAATAGAATAAACTGAGGTCCAAATCTCAGAAACCTATGATCTATTGCACCTGTGTAACTTAACACACTTAACACTATACAATGTAAACATCTTTACAAATTGAACAATTACTTAACATACATTTAATTTTTTAATAAACAAACAGAAAACATTATAAATAAATAAAATTTATCTTAAATGTATGGCTAGATTTAGAGATAAATACATGGTTAAAAAGTAGTGACAAAACAGCAATCATTGACAATATATCTGTAATTGTCATTCTTTTCTTGAAAATATTAAAAACACTATGATCAGCTCAAACATAGACTTAATTGACCGAGATTTTTCTCTAAGTCTATTTTTTTTTTAAAAAGCAAGATGTGTGAGTAAGGTTTATTTGTCAAAAAATAAGTCAAAATTGATAAATCCTCTGTACAGAAACATGCATTTCAAACATGAAGTGTCAACAATGAAAGAACACAATTAAAGTAATGTCCGAGTCTATGTGCAATATCATTGGCATTCAGGTCATCTCGAATACTATTGTTTATTTCCAACAATTCAATATAGGTCCTTTGTTAAATATATTTCTATTTTTAGAATTCTTTTTTTTTTCTTCGTACAAAACGTGTTCAATTACAACAGTCGACGGTAGTGATTCTTTATGATATCAAACAATTATATGATTGACCTCATACTGGAATCTCCATCTTCTGATATGGGGACCTACAACGCATCCACACTTCGTCATATGAAAAAGTGTTTTTAGGTCGGCCAACGACAACAAAACTGGCTCAAACCAGATTTATAGGACAAAGAAATATATTTCTTATGCCTCTTTCAAAATTAAATACATCTCCTAACGACCAAATATTTCTATTTTGACTTTAAATCATATCTCATCTTTCGCTATATAGGAATACTACTATAGCGATTTTCCTATGCATTTCAATGGTAAGGAAATTTCGACATGGCCGCTTCGCCGCCGACAAACAACGACCTCAAAATTCACCTTCGCAATGTCATTTCCCGAGCTGATGAATGAAAGTACCCTTAAAAATCATCTATTCATAATCTTATTTCGGCAAATCATTGTCACGATCTATTTCTCTGGACTTTTTACTTTAACCTGTCACACACCATACCACTCTGTACATTATATAGGAGTCCCAATGCATTTGTATTGCGTTTGGCTTGAGACTGGTATCGGTAGTATGGCTTGTGTATGGCGTACGGCCGTCTTCATGACAAAGGCCGATGGATTTTAGCAGCCACAAAATCCACTGAAAATGCATGGCAGGAGTCGGAAAATTTACACAGAGATGAAGTAAAATATCATCTTTAAGAATAGCACATTAGATTATACTGTTAACGAAGAGATAGTAAGATGTGGAAAAAATACGAAACCCTACCAAGCGACTACATAGACTTACCATAGGCAGACATGGCGCTCGGCTTTACTCATTACAGTTAGCAGACACATCGAAATCAAACTGGAATAGCATTCTGAAAACTACGGTTTGTGTAAAAACAGAAATGTGCAACTGAGAGATAAATATTTTTTCTATTGCAAAATCAACTTTTTTCATCGGAAATAAATTTTCTACCTATTTTTCAAAACGTCAACTTACCTGATAGTCTTCGTAAATAAAGCCCTATGCAGTGCAGTGTTAACCCCACGCTACTTATCCAGCTACATAGACGATACAACGATGGGAATCATGAGAGCTGATTGGTCAATGTTCAGATTAGCCGCATTATTGGGCCAATCAACACGGAGCAGGTGCGTGACGTCGCCGCATAATTTATGCAGATAGAAAACCACGTGATGCACACAAGCGGGAACATGACACCTGAACCACAAGGCGTGTTTTGAGTCAGATATTTGTTAAACAACATCCAAGAACCTTGTGAAATCAACATATTTGTATTTTTTAACCGATTAATGTTTGTTTTCTGTTTGTTGGCAAAATTGGCCATATAGGAGACAAAGAAACAAAATTTTGAAAAAAAACACACCAAAATATATTGTCGTCGTTCATAGTAAAAAGTTGTTGTGAATGGACAAATGGGCGGAGCTATTTTACCCTTAAATGGAAATATACGTCATGACGACCTCTGACCTATTCATGCTCAAAAGAGAGTCCGCCATTTCAGTGCGTATGTTTTGAGGTCTGTGTGTTATGGCAAAGCTATTGACATTTTCCGAGACCAGCCACTGTTTCAGCGCTTGAATTCGACAAAACCAATGTAAGTTGATATCAATTAGCCTATCGGTACTTTGTCAAATATTCCACTGCGTCTATAACTTCGTGTTTGGAGATTAGTTTCCCAGGACTGATTCATCTGAATCAAAAACTGCTGGTTTGATGTAGGTTCTACATCATACATACATAAACGGTAAATTTACAGCAGAATCATGCTTATATACAACATAATCTGGTCGTGAAAGAGCTGGATTGTCTGTATAAATTGATACAGAAATACATTTTCTGTATGTAGCTGGATTCAAGGAGAATTCGTTTAATTGAAAATGTGTCGTCTGCTTGAACAGGCCAACGTTGTTAGGCTTGGGTTTTTACGACGTATCAAAACAGAACAAAGTTGATGCTTTTTACTGGCCTAGATAATTTTTCAGTTTCGGATGATTATCTGTAGGTTACAGTGCCCATCATGAAATTATTCGTGTTCATAAACTTTCCATTGAAAGTGTCAATAGGTTCTAAAGACTACAAAGGAATGTCAGGATTTAGCAGGTAAGGTGTGAAAGAACCCTGAGGGTTTCCGCATGTATGCATGTCTATCTTACCAGACAATGCACGAAACCTGTTGGGTTGGTGACGTGAAAGACTGCACTCATTATCAGTTATCCATTTAGGTGACCAATGCCATGTAATCCAATATTGACAGGACGAGATTGTTTACGTGTACCACTGACATACATAACTGGCCTAGCAGTGTAAGATACTGTTCAAGAAATTGGCCAAGTTTAAAACTGTTGACAGTGAAATGAACGTTTCTGTCCCTGCCTCTTTTTTCTGATTGATGTTCCTCAGCAATGGCTGACCAGTGTGTGTTTAGTTTATAATACACTCCAATATCACCACAAAGATATATAATAGCATTATCCTTGACTTAAAGTCTTAGAAGGTAGCACCCAAACCAATCTACACAAGGCTGGGGTGAGCAATACATAATCTTTACACATTGCCACTTTACACATTGCCAAACATTACCAGAGTATGCCGCTTGGTCATAGTGATGTCTGGCAAGGACTCCCCGAAAGGACACCAATGTCTCATTTACCCTATCTGATAGCAGTGCATTGTCAACAGTAGAACATAGAATCACGCTTTCATAATAGTATTTAGTAACAGTTTTATGACATACTTGAATCAATATTTTTAAGTGACAGTTTCATTTTCTTTTTACTTTCAGTCAACTTCTATTAGCAATGTTCTAATGCGATGAGCTTAGACCCTTCTACATTAACCAGTAAACATAGCAACATAATACACAGTTATTCTGCTCTACCATCTCTGTGTAAGGTCGTTGAAGATACACTTCAACACAAGTCGGATGGTTTTTTGAATCTTGAACTGGTATGTATACAGTATCTGTGAAGAGTATATCATGCTTGAACATCCCCTGTACAATGAAATCAAAATAAAAAACTAATGAAAAATGATTAAATATTTCTTTTTAAATAATGCTATCAAATAACACCAAACTTAAATATGATTAACCTTCAATAATTTGTAATATCAAAAAGTAAATTGTGATTGTAATAAGTTTTTTTCTGAAACAAATTACAAAAATTCATGATTTTTGTAAATAGTTAGACTGAGTATTCAGTCTCTGAAAGGGCAAATAAAAATGTTTAAAAAAATCACCTTGTAAGAAGATAATGAAGTCTTGTTTTAGAGACTGAAAACTTATCTTGTCATAGAAATACAGTATCTTTTAACATGCATGCTGATGGAAGTAATTTGAATTTTCATGAATGTTTTCAGACGAACAAGTTCAAGGAGAAAAAAAGAAGAAGAAAAACCCACTTGTGGCTTCACAGACCCAAACAGAGGAATCCAAGGTTCTTTTTTGTTTCCTCATACCATAATAACAATAATGTGATACTGGTATACCAGGTATACTCTTGTTGTAATGGTTATCAAGGAATGTACCATTTCATAGTAATTGACAGATTTTCATAATACCAATTATGTGACCAAAAATATGTCTCATATTTTCAAAAGGCCTAATACACAATCAGTTGGAGATGAAGACCTCTCTCATATGCACTGAATGCCCTTTTTTTTGGAGTCATTTACTGGCAGTCTGCTACACATGCCCAGAATTCTGACAGAAGGCTTAAATTTAACTCTGCATGAAGTACCAGTTATTTCATTATCATCATTCATTGAACAAATTAAGGTAACTTTCTGTTAAATAACATGTACTAATATTTGATTAGATGTTGTTGACTTTAACAGCCCCTTTTAACAGATGTCATTTTATTTTTTAGACCAGAAGACATGTCTATGAATGGTTTCAGCACAGAAGAGGATAGCCGTGGGGGACATGACCAGATTTGCTGTCTGTTTGATTCAGGAGAGCGATGTACAAACCAGGCTGGCAATGCCAGCTACAGTAAACGTATACAGAAAACTGTGCAACAGCGCAAACTCAAATTAGTTAGAGATGATAGTGTAAGTGTGAACTAGAAGTTTACTAACTTTATTCAATTGCAATGATGATCCTTTGGGATCTTCAATGCTTTCTCCAATATACTTTGATATTTAATTGATATCATGGTACCACTGTTTGCCACAAGAACAATATGTCCAATGCTGTACTTCAATAAGTGTATGGTTTCAATAATTTTGTACTTTGAGGGATAGAATGTAGATACAATGCAGTCCACTTTTCTCTTTGAGTCAGAGAGGTGAGATTTTGTAGTGAGATAGTCAATGTCAGTCCATTATGTACAACAAAGCATTTACAAGATGTTAAGTTTCTTTTAATCTGTAAACTTAATTGATGGAATTTTAACGTTATATGGTAAAGAAATTCATGATACTGATAAAGTTTAGCATTGAATAGTTGGTCTCTCCTTGATGATGAATGATGGTTAACTTTCTATGGTGAGGAATTTAATGGTAATTAGCTTTGTATAGCAGGTCTCAGTATGAATATTGATGACAGTTATTAGTTAATAAGAGAACCATTTTATAATGTTTAGTAAAACGTCATTACTGAATGATGAGATACTGATGGTGATCTCTATGATGATTATTAGTATGATGTGTTTTTGTCCTAACTGTGCTTTAATCAATCTTCTGTCTGTCCACTTTACTCTGAATAAGTGAATAAACTTTCCAACTGACCACTTTCTATTACCAGGTGGCCCACATCTATATCTGTGACTACCATAAGAATGTGATACAGAGTGTTAGGGCAAAGAGGAAGAGGAAGGATAGTGAGGATGGTAACGGTTCCCCTAATGTAGAGGAGGACCTTCCAGAGGTAATGGTCAATATATTTATGTGTTGCCTATAGCAATCATAAATAGCAGGTTTCAACTGAATATTGATTATTGATAATGTATGTGCAGTCACACCACTGTCTTTAAACTTTTGGCAAGTATGCGTGTGCATCAGACCGTGTCCTTGAAATTCTAGTAGTTATCATCACATATCGTAAGTATTCATAACTCTACATTGAGTAGAGCCTAGTAATCACAAAATCAAATGTGTTACAGGGCCTAGCAATCTTGCATAAATATTGCTGTCTTACTGTAATCAAGAGCTCCAATTTGTCTATTTCTTACTTTTTTTCTGTGTTCACTTTAAAGATGCATATGATTTTTAAAATGACTGGTCCTCTCAACATACAGTTTATAGGTAACTTATCATAGAACCTGCACTTGGGCTTAAGGTCATGTAAACTCTAGCTTGTCATAGTGAAATAGTGGTAACATCATCTTACTACCGATGAAGGGAAGGTGTGAACGACACACTTACTATAGTATTGAACAAAGTATTGATACTATTGTATTGAAGTATTCAAATAATCGAGTCAAGTATACAACGACCTCTGTGATTGGTCGGGGGCGGAGTTTAGACAACCTGAATAGTTGATCTGACACCCAATTTGTTCCGGTAGGCGGAGTTAATGTACACTATCAGTTACATAACAAGTACTAAGTAATCGCTGGAAAAATGTCCGACGACGGCAACAGTACGCAAAATTTTCTTCGACGAAATTATGTCCGATACGAACGATATGGGGAATCCTGTTTTTGTACAAGGCGATGTGGTTGTGATGGATAATTGTGGATTCCATCACCATAGACAGGGAGAGCGCATTTTAAGAAATATGCTGAAAGAATATGGCGTGTCCCTGGTTTTTCAGCCGCCTTATTCCCCGGAATACAACGTAACTGAATATGTATTCAATGTCATGAGACAGAGGCTTCGGGCAAATATACCCGACTTGTGTCAGAATTTCTGGAACTTGCAGTAGTAAATGCTCTAGGTATTCCGCCCAACCAACTTCAAAGTTTTTTCACATGTTGCGGATATGTATAATTTTCGATGGAAAGATAAAAAATAAAATAAAAAATATATGGGACCACAGAATTCCTTTATTTTTTAATGCAGTATGAATTATCGGCATATATCAGGAGGTCCCAGGTAATTCGTAATTCTTTTATACACAACATAAGAAACGCCATAGTTAGGGTTTACATACTATTTATTATTTAAAACACTACATAACAAGATTGTCATAATAAATACATTTGGCTCTTCTTTGGGGCTACTCACCATGTGTATACCTTACAAAAACATTCACATAACACATTAACTTCCTAATAATTTAACCTGATCCGAAACTTAAATGATAACATGTTATTATCCGATTGAACATGTAAAATTTAGTTATTATCTAAATGGGGAAAAGAATTTCCTGAAATTCTAATGGCCTTAATCAAAATGTAACCTGGAACAGGTTATGAGACCAAACCCTGCCACAGGGTAGGATCTTAATCAACTATGTAACCTGGAACAGGTTATGGTGCAAGCCCCTGGAACAGGGTAAAACCTTAATCAACAACTTAACCTGGAACAGGTTATGGGACCAACCCTGGAACAGGGTAAAATCTTAATCAACCACATATCCTGGAACAGGTTATGAGACCGAACCCTGGAACAGGGTAAACTCTTAATCTACGTTGTAACCTGGAACAGGTTATGAGACCGAACCCTGGAACAGGGTAAACTGTTAATCTACGTTGTAACCTGGAACAGGTTATGAGACCGAACCCTGGAACAGGGTAAATTCTTAATCTACGATGTAACCTGGAACAAGTTATGGTACAAGACCCTGGAACAGGGTAAAATCTTAATCAATTATTTAATCTGGAAAAGGTTATGGGACCAAACCCTGGAACAGGGTAATATCTTAATCAACTATTTAACCTGGAACAGGTTATGGGACCAAACCCTGGAACAGGGTAATATCTTAATCAACCACATATCCTGGAACAGGTTATGGGATCAAACGTTGGAACAGGAAAAATCTTAATCAACCATTTAACCTGGAACAGGTTATGGGACCAACCCTGGAACAGGGTAAAATCTTAATCAACCACATATCCTGGAACAGGTTATGAGACCGAACCCTGGAACAGGGTAAACTCTTAATCTACGATATAACCTGGAACAGGTTATGAGACCGAACCCTGGAACAGGGTAAATTCTTAATCTACGATGTAACCTGGAACAAGTTATGGTACAAGACCCTGGAACAGGGTAAAATCTTAATCAACTATTTAACCTGGAACAGGTTATGGGACCAAACCCTGGAACAGGATAAACTCTGAATCAACAATGTAACTTTGACTAGGTAAGTGACTAACAAACCCTGAAACAGGATAAATTTTTTAAACAACCCTGTTACGTTGAACAAATGTAAGTGACTAAATCCTGAAACAGGGTATAAAACTTAAACAATGTAACCTATAAGCAGCTTATATGACTAAAATAATACATAATTAAATTTGTAACATACCAGGTAAACACTCACACAAATACATATGCAAAAAAGATTGGGAATAGCCATCAACAAAAACATGATGAGTAGCCCAAATACATGTTCTTAACAAAATGTAAAATTAAACAATGGCTTTGAAAATACTAAGAAATATATACAAAGCAAGGGTGATGTACGGGGATGGTGGGTGGGAAAGTTTTATAACTGTCCCATGCCACTAAAAACCTGCCCACGTGCTGCTTCTCTCTACACTTTCAACACTTTTCTCTCTCTTACAAGCAACTGCTCTCATTGGTTGATTCTGATCACGTGAACTTTTACATCATACTAAATTTAGACACCCTACATAAATGTAAACAAACTAATATCTACCGTCAGTAATAAGTCTGTACTAATAACCTACATCAATTTATAACCTATACACCCATGCTTACACACACCCGCCAGCAAATAAGGATGACGATATGTTGTGTATAAACTCAAATTGAATAAATTTCCATTTGTTACATATAATAGAGCTTGGGCTTAAACCGAAATATTTTGAGCCAACCCTCCCCCCCCCCCCTTTCAAAAAAATAAATAAAACTAGTACAGAATGACTATGTGACTACAATCACTGTTAAGATGTTATGAATTCTCCGGTCCCAGTGATCTAACCTGTTGATATATATTTTGTACGTAAATTAGTTTAGTACTGAGTAACTTTCGTTTTCTCGTTGTACCATCGATGGAAAAGCAAAGTATCATTGGGTGTAGAACGAAACAAATGGGACAACCCAATTAGGTCTGATCTGAAGCCACCTGTGACTTGGACTCTTCCAATTAACCTCTCGCGACAGTCGAGTGTTTGTAAAATGCCGATGTCTGCACAGTATTTTTTCACCTGGCTCCACCCACAATCGATCTAGACTTGGCTCTGCCAATCAGAGAGCTTGTTGCATAAATTTAAGGAATTTGATTGGTGAAGTACTTCAATACAATACTATCAATACTTTGTTCAGTACTACAGTACTTGAAACGTTCACACCTTCCCTTCATCGGTAGTAAATGTAGTTCTAAGATATGTGTGCTTGTGTGATGTAAATGTCAGACCAACTTTGAACATATTATTTTTTAACTTTAATCTGACCAGTGTTATTGCATTTATCCAATCAAATTTTCTGAAATTTTCCTAAGAATAATGTGTGTGGAAAAATATATATATTTGCATAGTTTGATGAATTAAATATGTCATTATGTTGTCCTTTAATACAATACATCTATTAGATTTTGTCTTCATTCACCTTTCCTTTTCCAGGATTTATCAAATAATGTTGTATTTATGTATTAAACACAAGTGTTATGATGGAAATTCCTATTAAACCTTTTAATTCGCAATAAAACCCATGACTGGTGCAAAGCTTATTCAACGTTTGAATCCAGGCTTAATGCAGGACATAAAAGTCCCCAAATGTATCCTATAAAGGTTGATTAGAATTTCATAGAATCCTCTTTGTTACAGATTGACTTTTTCCAAATGCCTGTGAACACATTGAGGCGATACAAGCGCCATTACAAACTCATGACTAGACCTGGCATGAACAACAAAGCACAGCTTGCAGATGTAAGGGACACATTGAATATTCATAACATTGAACTTCATACAACTGAAGGGGCAAAATGTATTCATAATAAACATCTCATTGCTGTTGGTTGTAAGGGTAAAAACATATTGAAACATCTACCATAAGACAGTTTTCAGGGATAAAACATCTGATTTCTGGAGCCTTTGGAGGGAAGACAAGAATTGAAAAGGAAATTAGTCATTGAAAACATTGTATGAAAGGAGGAGCTTTGTGTTGAAAAAGTGAAAATTTTCTGAAAACACAGAATTCTGATATGGTACTAAAGAAAAGAAATCTTGTCCACATGATTAAACACAAAAGTTTAAACTTATTTATATGATTAAATTTTATGAAATGACAGTAAATCTTACAATCAAAAAATCTTCAAAAATTTCATCTGTCCATTTTAATTTTGTCATGTCCAATAACTCCATATCCAGAGAATGGTTCAGGACCATCCCTTGCAAGAAGTTGATGTTGTTTGGAAAACTTAATACATGAATGCCTTTACTGGTAGCATATGGTCAGTTTTTTTAATAGACTAAATGATACGTATGGTTCTGTTGTTATAATTCTGTATTTATTTTTCAGACTGTTGCTCGGCACTTCAAGACTATAACAGTGAATGAGAAGGAAGCACTGACTTACTTCATTTACATGGCCAAGAACTATAAGAGTCGATTTGATCAGAAGCATTTGGATAATGTGAATAGCACATAGATTTTCATGCAGGATGCGGAGTATGTGAGGATTTGTGAATGTGTGAGATTGTTATTAAAATGTCCATTTTAAATGGACCCATTTGTTGTTATTTTAAATATGAATGGAATTATAAAGTGCAAATTTATCAATAGCTTTGAAATTTCACTTTTTTATGGTATGGAAATAAACACCATGTTAGCACTTGGTAGTTTTGATATTTTTTCCAAATTAAACTTTTTTGCAATTGTCAAATATGTGAAAGTAGGTAAGGAGTTTGTGAAAAACATGTCTCTTTAATACCAGTCTGCTGGTGTTTTATTGTAACCTTTCATGAAGTAATTCATGACCACTGTACTTGAATTTATAGTTAAAACATATGAAAGACCGCACAAAGATAGAGGAACTAGGAAAATTTGGCAAGCCAATTTGTATCTCGCCAAACTTTATGTAAAATTCTAAATTGGAATGATTCTTTTTTCTAATTAGAGAAAAGGTTTATTTAGGTTAAATGCAATACATATTTGTACAGATAACCTGGGATCAGATTTCTATGTAAGAGTTCATTACCCATGCAAATATTCCCAATCCACTCTTTAAGTAATTTGTCCAAAAGTTTGTGCTTCTTTACTTATTTATAGGTAGGTTTATTGATGCAATTTAGAGTTATCTTACAAGTGTTTCTGATGAATGGCCACACCTCAGAATACTGTACTTCTATCAATTTAGAGTTATCTTACAAGTGTTTCTGATGAATGGTCACACCTCAGAATACTGTACTTCTATCAATTTAGAGTTATCTTACAAGTGTTTCTGATGAATGGTCACACCTCAGAATACTGTACTTCTATCAATTTAGAGTTATCTTACAAGTGTTTCTGATGAATGGTCACACCTCAGAATACTGTACTTCTATCAATTTAGAGTTATCTTACAAGTGTTTCTGATGAATGGTCACACCTCAGAATACTGTACTTCTATCAATTTAGAGTTATCTTACAAGTGTTTCTGATGAATGGTCACACCTCAGAATACTGTACTTCTATCAATTTAGAGTTATCTTACAAGTGTTTCTGATGAATGGTCACACCTCAGAATACTGTACTTCTATCAATTTAGAGTTATCTTACAAGTGTTTCTGATGAATGGCCACACCTCAGAATACTGTACTTCTATCAATTTAGAGTTATCTTACAAGTGTTTCTGATGAATGGTCACACCTCAGAATACTGTACTTCTATCAATTTAGAGTTATCTTACAAGTGTTTCTGATGAATGGTCACACCTCAGAATACTGTACTTCTATCAATTTAGAGTTATCTTACAAGTGTTTCTGATGAATGGCCACACCTCAGAATACTGTACTTCTATCAATTTAGAGTTATCTTACAAGTGTTTCTGATGAATGGCCACACTTCAGAATACTGTACTTCTATCAATTTAGTGTTATCCTACAAGTGTATCTATGAATGGCCACACTTCAGAATACTGTACTTCTATCAGTTCTCAGTGATTTTTAGAAGATTTGGATGAATATTATTGCTATTAAACAAATTCATTATCTACTATTATCAGCTGTACCTAGCAGTCAAACTAGGTAACTTGTACACCACTTGCACATTTTAAGCCACACTGGAAAATCCTCAATCAAGAAATTAGACTTGTGCATCTGTTCCCTAGAAGTCGCTATTTGACATACCATTTACAGGAAAGGTTGTTTTTGTGGGTTCACAGACTAATTTTCTTATTTTCACCAAAACTATTCACTCTGTAAACAAAATGTCCTTTTTTCACCTTGGCCATGCAAAAGACAGTAGATTTCTCAGATACTTTTATTTGATTTCATCCTCAGAAGTAAGAAATACACTCCCTCTAAAAGAACAATCTTTGCAATAGTTGTGTTTAGATTCAAATATTTTTATGGTGATAAATTTGATATCAGAACTAGTGTTTTTCAATGATTTGAAGGATTTTCTGAAAGAACTGAATTGAATTTCTTTATTTTGGTTTTTCTTTTAATTTTCCATTTCATATTGAAACAAGTTTAAAGACAGATTACCTGCTTGATCATGAGTATTGTTCCATGAATACAGGCCCAGGTCTTCTATTTAGTTGGTTCCTGCATCAGATTACCTTTCATTGTCAATGTATACATAAAAGTGTTGAATAGGGTGAACATTGATTGTCACTCTAGAATGGAATGAACAGTGATGTTAGATTATAATTAATTTTCCAACTTAATGTCTTGTTGTTTCTCAAACTGACTTTTACTTAATAAAATGATGATCAATTGTCAGTTTCAGAAGTCGATACTAGTTTTACATGTCATGTTGATCTAAGTGCTATTAAATACGTGTAAATTAAACCAAATTGTATTCCATCTTTCATGGGTGTTCAAATGGGAATTTTCTGGTGTAATTTTCGACTAATCAAAACCTGAATAATTAAGAATTTTTGTCTTCTTGTGAGACAAAATTTCCCAGAAGTGATGAAGCCAACACGTCGTTTACAATATTTTTCTTCCCCAGGATTGTTCAACAAACAGAATTTCAACTGTTTTTAAGTTACGAGTCTTTGCAAAATTAGTCAGATTTTGACATTTTCCAGGCTCTCTTTACTTTTCCTCAGTTATTACTGAGGCAAATGCTTGTGAAGACAAGATTCCAATTTCTTGTAGCTGTGAAAACCAGATGAAATGTCAGGATGTTGGTCAATTTTAATTGTCCTTGGCCACACTAGGTGATGGCAGGTGTAGTTAAAGACAGGGTTGACTATTTGTATACTGAACAAGGTTTGTAAACAACAATCATCATTCTTTTCTATAATATCCATGTGGGTGATACAAGCCCATGGGGCTTTCTTTTTACTGGAATGGACAATACATGTTATAGACCAATATATGAAATGTAACAGTTGTTTTGATGAAAATATTAAAACATTTGAAACTATGATTCATTGTTTCTCATATTTGTAGGATTACATTTGTTTTACTTCCTAGATATTGGTAGGTAATTCAGAAAATCATTGTGGAAAACTTGTAGATAGATAATAAATTAGGCATGTAAAAATTTTCATCCATATCCGTGTAAGCAGGTCATCCATTCACCTTTGTAGGTAATAAGAGTCGAGTTCTTGACAGGGGAAATTAAAGGTTGAAATAACCAAATATATCCAAAAAAGTCTGAGTGTAGGACCTCACTGTGTCGTATTTTCATCAGACTTGAGAATCCCTGGTGTAAAGTACAGGTTCAAAGTTCAATTTTTTTCCCCTAAGTATTAAATATTAAATACTGTATTATTAATGTAAATAAATAAAACGGATTCAATCCATATTTATTCTTCAATAAGGACAGAATATTCTGTCTTCTCATAATGCAGAATAGTCTGCTCTTGAGAAAACTAATAAACTTGTGAAAAATAATGACAAAACATTCAATACCTGCTCTCTAAAGGAGATAACTTTGATCATACAAAAGGGACCCAATGTAACTTTAAGTTTAATTCCTTGCTCTGGAATTATCCGTTGTTACACAGTATAATGATAGCAAACCACAATATTGGAGAGTGTCCTTTATTACATGTTTACGATGATAATGAATCACAATAAATAATATTACAATGATAGGGAGGAGAGTTTTTCGTTCAGTGCCAGTTGTGTTCTTGTCAGGTTGGCGAGGTACACCACCATCAACAGATCCTGTGGACAATAGAAACATTTCAGTCAATTCCAAATTGTTAGAAATGCATTACAATCCTGTTTTACCAGTAACATCTCAATTAGACAATTTCTTTAAATAATTAAAACTATTTAAATAAGGTAAATAAAAAAACCTGTATTTTCACATCACAGACAATATCACACATATGGATATATACAATGACAATAACTGAACAGTTTACAAATTACAGCATACCTTCATATTTGAATTCAACATAGATTCAAACTCCTCCGGAGCAATCTGTGGAACATTTGTTGTCAGTTCCAATAAATGTCTGCCGATTCTGTTGTCTGCTGGGATCTTATTTGACTGAACAGGAAATGAACAAATAAAAAGTTTGTATGTGTTTTATGTGATATTGTTTCAAGTTACATTGTGCAGGTTTAATCAACTTTTTTAAGTGGAAAAATTGATGAAACTATTCAGATCTTGTATATTTTGTCTGAATTATTGTAGACAGCTGACAAGCTACACCACATATGTATAAATAATGGTTTCATAAATTATGTATGGCAGTCACATATGGTTAAATGGATGTTTAGAATAATCTGCTTGCTTGATATGGCATCAATAACAGTTAATGGAAGCTAACATGACAAATCAGCAAGGCTTTGAAGTTCATGTTTACAATAACATACATATTGACATATTTTATTATTTTATTACTTTTTGGTAAATAAGGACAATGATAAATTCATTCATCTAAAATAACTGCCATATAAACATACAATAACTTGAATTAGCACAAAGTGAATACCTTCAATGCAAAGAGTGTCAAAGTAGGATTAACCTAAAATATGCATATTTACAGTAGTTCAGTGTTTATGTTTCCAATATAACTTGTTCTTTTAACTACATTCTAATAAGGATTGGCATTAAACTGATGCCACAATCCAAGAGACAGTAAAGTCACCTGACACTTCTAAAGTTAATATTTCATAGTCCTCATGGTTACCATAAAATCATCAACAGGAATCTCCTCTGAAAACCAGATATGTTCACTTACAGGGTAATGTCAACTTGGGATGAAAGAAATCAAGAAATATCGGTAGCCTATGTATTACTTTGTTCTAGCACTAATTCAGAATAGATTTTTTTTTCCAAGCATCAGACACTTACCAAAACATCTTCTACATATGACATCACCATGGCTAGTTTGTCTTGCAGGGAGGTGCAAGCATTTTCTACTTGCTGGAGGTCTGTAACCATGGCAACACTGCGTTTAGGGTTCAACTTCCCCTGCTGAATCAAATCCACTGTAAAGATAACAGATCAGAATTCAATAATCATCTATAAGCTGATCTAAATCTTTATTTTGATTTTTGAAAACAGAATTTGGCATTTAAATATATCTCACTTTTAATCTAAACAAATTACTGTTTTAGGTCTTGATTGGCTACGGCACATCATTTAGATATTTCATTTGAAATATTTTCCATGCTCTGGACATACACAAGTTTTAACCATAAAAATGTTCATAATGTCAGAACGTTTTACCCATACACTGCTATAGATGTAGGAGAAAATGTAACCATGTTATTCAATATGAGTGTCTAACGTATATCGCTTAGACCCATTATTGATGTTATACATATAGAGAATGGACAAAATGTACCATACATGTATACTGATGAAGTAAAGGATGTTCGGTATCTATGTTAAACTTATTTGTTGATAATCAAATGAAAATCATGCCTTTACTTTAATCACTAAACAAACTAAAATTATTAAAATTTAATGACAAATAGCAGGACACATTCTGGTTCACTCCCTGTCTCTACATAAATATTGACAAGATCATAACTGACAGGACACATTCTGGTTCACTCCCTGTCTCTACATAAATATTGACAAGATCATAACTGACAGGACACATTCTGGTTCACTCCCTGTCTCTACATAAATATTGACAAGATCATAACTGACAGGACACATTCTGGTTCACTCCCTGTCTCTACATAAATATTGACAAGATCATATATATACATAAATATTGACAAGATCATAACTGACAGGACACATTTGGTGTCTCTACATAAATATTGACAAGATCATAACTGACAGGACACATTCTGGTTCACTCCCTGTCTCTACATAAATATTGACAAGATCATAACTGACAGGACACATTCTGGTTCACTCCCTGTCTTTACATAAATATTGAAATATTGATTACCGGTTACCGCAGTGCACTAATTGATGTTTTGATCCATCTATAATTAGGAAACCACAATGAGCATGACCCTAATGCATTTAATTATATCAATTCATGCAGGTGCCTGACTTAACAATATTGGAAGGCTAGGCTTATTGGATGATTAACAGTCATTACAGGTCATCACAGGTAACACGTTAAGTATGAGGAGATTGATGACATCCGCATATTGATCAGAAAACAATTTTGTTTCAAGTCTGAAAATGTTCAATTCTACCCTGTCCCCATAAAAGCATAAGAGCCGGTCGCCGGCCAATTTGACCTGCTACTTTGATCATTTGCTCACCTACACCAATCCAGTTCTGTAATAATGTTCTGTACACGACTACACGTACACAGCAGGCCAGCCTCCTACTTTCACTACACAGCCTACTACTAACAGAATTATGGAAAACCCGGATGTTAGGTATCGGTATGATCTTTCATGGTATTTCTACCCTTCGCGGTACCGCAATATGGGGAAACAGCAAACATCATTTACAGCCAAAGAGAAACAGGACGCCATTGACTACACTGAAAGACTTGGGTTTAGTACCAACCCACTTTGACTGAATCCAGCATTCGGGCATGGAAGTTAGAAAGAAGAACGCCTAAAGTCCCCCTGACCTGAAAGGCCGACAGAGATTGAGAGAGAGCTGTAAAATTTTGTCAGTACAACAGAACTGCGCATGCAGGCCATGCAGATCAAGAGAGGTCATAAGGTCACCGATTTTAAAGCATCCACAGGATGGGTTGATAGTGGACCCGCCATTGACGTTGACATGGAAGATAATTACGAGGATGATTACGACCTGTTTACCACAACAACGAAAAATCTACCGAGGCAAACTTCGACCTGGTGTTCTTCTTTAACAGTGACAATGATGAGGAGGAATTCCAAGGATTTCAGTGTGTTTGTTTAGCGCATAGTAGCGAAAAAGATTGGAGACTGAGTTAAGTGAAAAGTAACTTCAGTGCTATGAACAGCTTCAGTTGTAAGTTTTTTTTTAATATATATAATGAACTGCATAACAAAATTTATTTTATTCTTTGTTGTTTTTATTTTCAATCTATCATATATAACCGACTACTCTAAATATAACTATGTGAAGGGAGGTAATCCAATATGGCGGACAAAGATCACGAGAATGATAACCCCTAGAATGGCATGTTCCTGCATATATAGTACACACACCCATTTTTGCCACAAAAGTTTTTGCCTAAAGAAGTGCACACTATACACGCAAATTTAATAAAATATAAAATAAAATATTGAAAAGATACTATCTTGTTCATTTTGATTTCTGTTTCCTGATATATTGATATGATCAACTTACCGCCTACTCTCTCTGGTTCATAAGTGATGGTCTCCACTTGCACAGAGGTAAACATACAGCCCATGGTTTTGTTAGGCACACCAATGGGGGTACTGTACAAAGAAATCAGCAAAAGATGAAATGACATTCAACAAGAAGTTTCATGACTTAGTTTAACTTTGCTTATTCTGAAAGCAGGCATGACTGCCTCACAGATCATATTTCAAATATTATATGATAGTGTTTATATTGTGACATTACTCCAGTGTTGTCGTGAATCTTCTTTCATTGCTACCCGAAATTTATCAAAGCAATTTCAAAAGTTACAAGACTTGGCATTTAACAAGTAAAACATTATTTCATATGTCTTGTGTTATTGATCAGATTATTTGGGTGTTTCAAAGCAAAATATTGAAAATATCCCAATTATGTAAACAAATTTTGATTTGAAATGCACCAAGGTCTCATTTCCTTATAATTGAGTGGTACATCCTAAAGCACTTTTAACTTAGAGGAGGGATACCGATTTCAGCCATTCAATAATTAGCCTAATTTATTGCAGAAAGATATTCTAAGGTCAGCAGTTTGTAAAACACAATTCAAAACACCAGATTTGTTGTGGGCCCTTGATTATACTCAATTTTTCAGTGCAAATAAGGCAACTGAATCAAAAGAGATTTGACTTTAAACATTTTATACAAAAGTGTTGATGTGAATTGCTTTATGCCCTCATAAAAGACTTGTTACCATAACCAATATAACACTTGCTATCTGCCCCATGCCTTGCATCCATACCTTATATAAGCTTTCACATCCATTTTGCTGCCCTTAAGTGTTGTATCAACAGTGAGATGTACAGGATTTTTAGCCTCACGAGCATAGTACTCATGGATCAGCACAGAATGTTCTGACACCTCAGATCCAGTAGAGTACCTGTAAAACATCAAATGTTAACATCATATAATAATCAGCAATTCATCCTGTCAGAAAAGACTGAAGTCAACATATCAAACTTGAATAAATCTCTCTTTATTATTTTTTTTTATCATATCTGACCTAGTGACCTTTGAAGTGGTACAACATCATTTACTTGTGAGACTCACTGTTATGTCCAGTAAAACCATGACATCTGTGATTACAAATGGTTACATCATTTAGTTAACAACTTAAGAAGTTTACTCAGAAAACAAATCTATATACTGAAAGTATGATCATTCAGGTTTTATAATTTGTCAGAGATAGTTACAAATTGTAGCATAATTGACACTTGTGACACAGAACATGTTCCTTGTATTATTAAGTAACAAAATTTTGCAAAATCAGTGAAATGATGAATAGCTGATGAACATTTCAGTAATTGAATAGGAATAATACCAGCCAACAATAACTTCTGCTGCATTGACTTTCTTGTGCAGTTCAAACATGTTTCTGGCATATTCCAAGTCTGCTGCAACCTAAATTCAAAATAAGGATATAATCAACATATAAACAAACTATATTAAATTTTTCAATTGTCTACTTTTGTTACAAACAGATGAAATATAATCAATTTAGAGAGAAAATAAGTTTGGTATAACAATAAACTTCCTTCTTAACTTCTTATTTTTGCCCCAAATGTTTATCATCAATTGATTTACCACATAAATTCATACAGCTGATAAACCAATGGAATTTGTTGTAAGTAATCTCAATAAACTGACAACACTTTTTATTTATAGAGTATAATACATTCAATATCAATATCCACATACCTCATCTTCAGACTCATTGTGAGGGACAGCAAAGCAATTGGTAACCTCCACAGCACCTTTGTCATATACTCCTGTTGTAAATTAGTTAAATATTATTACATGAATCTGTTAGGATCATTCATTTAACATCTAAAGCAATGTACATGTAAAGACACTTTCTAGTTGAGGACCATAATAACTCATTTGGTTGAGCCTTGGCAAACACAACTGCAGGTGAGTGTCTGTGCGTGGATTGATGCTCCCTACCTGTGGCCGTTTGTATTTGTTACAGCCAAGTATTGATAGGTGTATCATGTATTTATTGTACTTATGATGGCAACGATTATGACAAGTTTAGTTTTAACATTGAACATATGTATTGTATATGTAGTATACAATACGTTGAGAATTTCTAGCTCTCTATTCACTACAACTTCCAAACATCGTTTTTTGGGGAGGTCATGGTGGTATGATAGGAAATTACTCAATACAGAATTTCTTTGCTTGGGGATTTGATGCACAGATTGTGAGTTTGAGGCCTGGGTATGGCACAAGTCAGAAAAAGATTTGTCTATTTTTCACAGAGGATTTCACACATCATATACTTAGAGTTCCACTTGTAAAAGATCTTTGTCTATCGTGTTCTACCTGTTTTGTTAAATGAGTTTGTCTGGACATGTGAGTGTGAACTGATCATTCACTGGCCTAAAACTACAATTGACTGTTCCCTACTTTGGAACTGTGTATGTGGACAGACACTCAATACAGCTGTCGGGTAAGTTCTAATTGTATTTTGTATATTTGGTTAAAATAATCATTAGTTTACATAAATTATTAAATATAAAAGTTTATGTACTAGTTATATAACACCTACATTTTGCTGCATTTTTATCATAGGAAACTAGTTTAAATGTGTAAATTTTAGTAGGTAAAATATAAATAATGCTTCCACAGATTGTTATTTACCATATTTTCTATGTTATAAGCTGCATCAGTATATAAGCTGTAAAGTCAATTTTTACTAATTTTTTCGATTTGATCCACATATTAGCCACACTGTAATATAGGCCATAACCTTTATTACAATGTGGTAAGCAATGGAAGGCAATTTATCAAGACCATCTGTGAAACATTAAATTTTGCAAATGAATCATACACAGGTAATCCTTTATTTCATTTATGTACTCCAAAAACATAAAATAGCTAATCATCAAACTTGTTAAGCCTGGGAGCCTTCATTGATTGTCTATGCATAGATATAGGGCCTGGTGTTACTTAACAATACCTCCATCAGTGTCTGTACTGTTGATTATAGTGAAAGCCATTGCATGCTGACAAAATTCTTATAGACCCATATCATTTCTTGTAAAATACACGATGCCATTCTTATCATAAACATGCATGGCAGTAGTTCTAGAATTTGACCTATAACCTGATAACCTATCAATCCAAGAATGCAATGGGTGTTATTTCTATTTCAATCTTGTAATCATCTTGTATACGATTGCAAATGACGGTTCTAGATGATTTGTTTCAGTCACAAACATGTAATGGACAGACACTTGTAAAAATAACTCTGTACTGTCTGGTACTGGTGTACTAGCTGGTACACTTCATTTTGTTTTGTTTTATTCCTTCTGTCGTTTATTTGCCTCAACAACTTTTTCAGCCTTTAACAGTTTTTTAACCCATTCTAGTGTGTTTTTTCCTTTCTTTTCTTCATTTCATACATTCAACTTCTTCGTTTGTTGCAGGAATAACTGTTTAATTCACCACATACATGATGGAAGCATTTCTACCACTTTTATGAACACCTCTGCTCAGTCTCTAACATGAGCATAATCAATACAAATTTAAATATCAATAACACCATAATAAATATGAATATTGACATCAAATTATCATTTTTGAGACAAAAAAAAGAAATCAGTCTAACAAATATCAATGCAACATGAGCTGGGTTTATTTCATTACTCTGATATGAAAGTTATCCCTTTAATGCTTTATCTTTTTAAGTGTGTTGTGTATATGTCAGACATGATTTAGAAAAATATAGATAAAAGGCTATACGAAGAGTCCATATATTGTTCATATTAAATTTCTAAAATTCCCCCAAAAACGCTTTTGGTTTTTTTGGGTTTTTTTTTTTTTTTTTTTGTGATTTGGATCAGCCCTCATCAACTGCTGTCTGGTCATAACAAAATATTCTATTGAATCAACAATATGTATTATTGATCCGCTAGATGCTAGACTGAAACGTTGTTTTTGTAACTGACTAATAGGGATCATCTCCAAAGGATGTTGACACTAGTGTAAACAGCTGTCAAACTGCTACAGATGTCTATTGTAAAACATGTGAATATGTAGTAATTTAAGAACAAAGAAGAATTATATCGTGATGGGTATACCTAGTAGTGTCCCGATCACCCTTTTTGCGTCTTCATTTCGCCTTTCGTATGAGTCAATAATGCTAAACAACACCACAGGATGAACCCGGCACACGAGGTTCGTCGCCATCTTTGAAGTAAAGGACAGACGAAAATATTATTGGTCGAAATGTTTTGATAAAAGAAATCATTTTTCAAAAGAAGACCTTAGAATTATTAGATATACTGAAGACTAAAAATAGTGTTTTTATGTACAATTTTTTTGAGAATCATGATTCCTTCTGGTTATTTCCTCCAATGAAATCCATGCATCGTCGATCCAAAAAGAAGGGTATGATGGCTATCTAAACTTCCGGTTTTATTTTGTTATTCAAGGCTGTTCAACATTTTCAATTACTATCATGTGGAAAATGACTTTCTAGCCTCCAAATACTTTTACTTTTCAAATAATTTGATTGCAATACTCCAGTGAATGGGTAAGTGAATGTCATTAGCCTGGTATGAAAGTTGTAACTTTGGTTCTTGTTGAAGTTTTGAGGATGGATTCAGAGGCAAATTATTTGCACGTTGTGTATTTTTCAAAAATGCACGTTTTCTTGGAATGTGAGATAGAATTTGCAAACATAGCGCACAAATAGATTGTTTTTAGACATGCACTATACCTTATTATCTTTAGTAAATGCATTAATGTGTGTCTTGAGATTACGATGCACCTAAATAGTAAATTAGTCCTATATTGCACTACTGGTTAGTTATGTACATAATATTTAGTAATCAATATCACAAAAGTCTTTATTTTTCAAAGGTATAAACAGAAATAGCATTATAATATGGTTATCGCTTGTTAATAATGTAAATAATTTGACTACTGTGTCAATTTTTAGTGATAAACCGTACAATAGACATTGGTTTGTGTTAATTAAAAATATATACATCGTGGGAAATCTTAGCGAGCTATGAGCAATGAGTCATTTTCAACAAATTTTGAGTGAGCCAAAAAATGAAGTTGGCCATTAGAATGTGAAATTAAAAGAAAATGGAGAAATAGAAGCGTCAATTTCCGTTTTGCTGCATCATCCTATAACGATATCGAATTTTTCTTCTTCCTTTTATAGCGAAAAATGCATAAAATATCTTAAATTAAGTGAATTATGAAAAGATTAAAGAGTTACTGGAGATGAAAAAAATGTTTCATCTTATTGCAGAGATTTAAAAGTTAAAGAGAAGGGAATATGATCATAACCAGACCAAGGCATTTTGTATGAAAAACGGATATAACAGTTCCTCACACCCTTTCAATAATGAACGTTTTTAGTTATAACCAAGAGTAAGGTACATACTATTTACAAGATTTATATATACCATGATTATATAACATAATTATACATGTACTCTATGTAAAACTTTCTGTTTCAGAAATATAAGCAGAGCGGCGGATGTCTTCAGACGAAGGAGCACCATGGGGACTCCCAGTATCCAAGCCTGGCACCAAGCTGGAGCGATGTCTGCTTGGAAGGCGCGAGATGCTCTTACCAGAGGCCATGATTGAACAGGTTTTACTTTTTTTCCTCTTCATATATATCTCACCATTGTAGGTGCAATAAATGTCTATTATAGTACTTGGTAATTCATATTATGCTACAAGTTAATGAAGTGTGAACCAAAGAGACTAAAGCAGAACAGACATTCTTTAGTTGAATTTTTCTTTAGACACTTTTATACATTCTGCCTTCTGAGGGATATGTAAACATTTTCTCTATATGTCTTTGTTTTGTGTATTACTTCTTTAAGTTTTGAGTCAGTTTACAAATCTTTTTATGGGCTTCATTGTAGAAATTGCATTTGAAAGTGAGTGATAGGATATTTGCAGAGATTACAATTATGTCTTTTTTTCAGTCCCATATTTTCAATGATGTGGTAAGCAGGGAGACGTGGCAGAATCAGCTAACGAGTGAACAGCGGGCACATCTGCTGGTAAGGTTCTCATATTAACAAACATTATGTACTTTTCATCCATGTCTTCAATACAATTATATACAAGTCTGCAGATTTATAAGTTACTTGGTCCATGTACCAGGATGTATTAATAAAATCGTAATTTTACTGCTGTTGATATTTCATGACCAGTGTGAGGGTAAGATGATGGAGTAGGATGTAAGTATGCAGTTGGGATAGTTATTTATAATATCCAATTAACAATGGATAATTTATTGCACAATATACCTAGAACTCATCATGAAAGTGATAAACATCATACCCGACTGATTCCACATGAGAGATGTTGGTACACGTTGATTGCATACAAAAGTATTTATTTTGCTGCTTTGAACTTTGTAATACAAATTCTATAAAAGTTGCTAGTATTATAGGATAGGTCAACTCATCGTCTGCAATTTTGGAAACATCAGTGTCTGATATTTCAACTTTAAAGTATGTGATATTTATTGCAGAAAAAATTTCAGTTATTTTCAAAGTTAAAAATATTAATTGATTGATATCAATAAATCACCAGTGTATTGATAAGCTATATCAGTATTGTAACATACAGTATCATTTTTCTATCATCAGACATTCTTGCCAAGCTTTCCAGAGAATGACAAGAAGGGCAAAGAAGAAACCCTGGAGTAAGTAGTGTTTTGTGACTTGTCTGAAATTCTTTGCTTAAAACCATTTAAAAATGTAAAAGAATGTTATATAAATACACAGTTGCTTTAAAATTTTTGCATAATATAAATAATTGAATTTCCATCTTTTTTTTTTTGCAGAGGTCTTTTTGGAGGTGATAATTTCAAGTTTGGAAATCCATTGAAAGAGTTCCATACAAAGCTGAGAGGTAAATGCATACATGATTGTTGACTCCAATTTTGTAAATACGTATGTCCTGCACAAAAATGTATTGTTGTGACAATTAATTTCAGCAAATGTTTAGTAAATTGGTTCAGACTTTGGGTTATTTGGCAATATCTGCTCACACATGTGTGTTGTAAACTTCTACAAATGACACTAGGGAAGCATGGATATACTTTGCTTTATGATATTTCACAAGAACATTAACTTATGTATTACTTAATATTCTGATAATGACTAGACCAGACCAGGTTAGTTATTATTAGTTCTGTTGTAGTGTGTATCATGAAGACTTTACATACATTGCAAATCGAAAAGACTTTTTTCTGAAAATGAGGTGTATATAAGATTGAAGATTGTTTCTGTTGATTTTCAACATTTTCCTCCAGGTTTTTGACAGTAAGAAACAGTAAATATACCTTATGTGTGACTTGCTGTAAAAATGGCATGAGGACAACACTTTAAAAAAGTAAAAACATGATAGTTATGATTTTCATGCTTTTTATTTCAGATGGATTTTACTCTCCCGACATAGCCAAGTACACTAATTTGTGTCGAACAGTCAAATACAGGGAGTACAAACATCGGCAGCAAACATACTATTCAAACCTCCTTAAAGAAATTCTACTCTCAAGACAGGCAAGTCAAATGGCACAGTATCAAATTGGTGATAATCAGACCAAGAAAAAAAAATGATGTTTTACATGAATTTGGTGGTAAAGAGTCGTCCTTCAGTATTTGTTCGTTAAAAATGTGTGTTGTTATCTGCCACACTACTAGCTTTACATAGAATAAAGTTGAATTCTGTTCAACTTATAGCTTCATTAGCTTGTCATGTCTGATGAATTATGTGATTTCTCTATTTTTACAGAAAGTATTTGAACAAATGAAGAAGATTCCTCCAGATGGCCATGTGACAATGGAGTACAACCCTCCCCCACCACCACTCAGGGAACGCACAATAGAACACAAAGTCAGAAAAAAATATGTCAGGTACTGTTATTCAACTATTTCATTTGCACACATGTCAGAAATATTTACGGTACATAACACAAGCATTGGCTGTCTGTTAGTTGATTGTTACTCATTGAGACTTAAAATTTTCTAGCTTTATTGTCTCCGTGAAACAAATTTGCATGAAATGTATACACAGGCTCCATCAGTTCATCTATCTCTCCATGAATGGGCATTTTCTGGACCTGAATTTTTTAAACCATTCAAAATAACTACACAAAACCTTGACCACTTACCCAACTAATACTATATTAATACATTCTGCTATGGAGAAGTTCTGCATCAAGATACTGTTTCTGATACCATGGAAACCAGTAGAATAAATTAAAAAAAATATAGATCATGACTCCAAAGCAGTTCAAGATAACTACTTGAAACTTTGTCCAGTTCTGTCACTCTAGTGGTGCCTTTGGTGACAGAGGAGTTTTCAGTTTTTTCTTGTTCCATTAAAACAAGTTAGAAACAGATAGGTGAAGTTACAAATTTTATAGTTTCCAGAGCATTGCAACAACTTTGTTCAAAAACTACTTGAACAATAGCTTGCTGGAGAAGTTTTTAATTTAAATATTTTTCTTTTGCCAATAATTTCAAAAAATAGCACTAAGTATAGGCCTAATTTTCAAATTTTATAAGTAATCCTCATATATGTGGTAATGAATTATATCAAAAAGGTTATTCATAATGTAATTGTTTTATTTGTAAATGAAATGATGCCAAACCATACTTAAACAACATCAGTAAAAGATGATCTACATGAAAATATCAGTAACAATGGTGGAATGGAGTTATGCCTGTAATATCAACATATGTTGTATATATAAAATTGTATAAATATGATTGTGTGTCTTTCTTTTAAGCAGCAGGGAATGGGGGATAATGTCATGCTTTACATTATCTTATTATCATTTGATTTAGTTCCCGAACAAGCCATTTGATTCTGTGGTTATGTAAAATTTTGTTGTCCATTCAGTCTTTGACTGGTCTTTCTGCCACTACATTGATTACAATAACTTATCATGACATTGTGTAGTTAAACTTCCTTCCTGTGGCAGCATTTCATCTTTTCAATAATTTTTCCATTTAATCATGGGAAAATGTAATAGATTCATTGTAGAGTCTTGTCAAAAATACATCAAATTTTGAGAGATTTGGTTCATGAAAAGTATGAAATCTTGTTGTAAATACATAGAATCCTTAAGAGAAGTAATTATATGAGGAAGCATATGTTAACACTGTGATTCATCCACATTTACAGGTTGATGAAGGAAGTACGGGAGGAATGTGGCGTTGAAGACACTTCGTCAGAGGAAGATGAGCATGACAGTGAGTATTAATTCACCACAAAAATCAATGAGACAGTGACATCAGAATTATCTATGAAAAATATCCACTGATGAGTGACATGATGATGGATGAGTGATATCAGGGAAGAATTAGAATTAGTTTATGAAACTTTGATTACAAGGTACAAGTGTTTAAGTTGGATAGGGCAATGGCCTCCTCAGAAAAACGACAAAACTGAAAATTTAGTGATTATTTTTCTTTTGATACATTTTCATCTATATATATTATACTGCAACTAGAATACTAATTATCAACTCATTATCAAAGAATATGGCTGTATGGACTAAATTTATAATTGATTCAGCTCTTCATAGAGTATCATTATGCAACTTACCTGGGTAAGTTGCTTGATATTGTATGTGAACCATTGGACATGTACAATAATTTCCATTCATCCAGGTCCTTCTCAGAGAGGTAAAAAGCAGTTGTTTAAATCCTTGTGTCCCATTCCCTCACCTGAACCTACTATTCCCAGCGTAGTTGCCACCTTTTCTGCCAAGCCTACAGTCAATGGAGATGTTGCAGGTAACCAATGCTCCTATAAGACTCTACATATTAAACGACTAACTGTACATCTATCAGTCGGTACCTTATTACAGCTAATTTCTACACAACACGTCAAACCTTCTTGCTGTAAGCTAATTAGTCTGTTCCTTATTACAGCTAATTTCTACACAACACGTCAAACCTTCTTGCCGTAAACTTATTTGGCCTGCCCCTTATTACAGCTAATCTCTACAAGACACATCAAACCTTCTTGCTGTAAATTAATTTGTCTGTCCCTTAATACAGCTAATCTCTACACAACATGTCAGAATTTCTTACTGTATCCCTGGTGAAATTTCTGATTTTGTCGTCATTTCACTGATGTATATCCTACATCAAATCGCCCTTGACCTGTATTCTTCCTCAAATCCTTAAAAGGCCAGCACCACTCATTTTTAACCTTAAACCCTCAAAAATCCTCAAACGTGACACTTTACTGGTCTGTGTTTATTTCTCAGATTAAAGGCACAGATGACACATTTTCTTTTGAAACCACTTGAACATAATATGATTTTTTCAATGGAGACTTTGAAACAACACTGACAGAACCATGGTCCAGTTCATGGCTTCTATGATAAATACATCTTTGTTCCTTTATACTTTTTGTGAAAATCATGAAAATTTGAAACCTAATAAACTTGTACTCATTTAGTATGCTGACTTTGTAAAGTATGACAACCTGTTTCTTGATATTATAGGATCTAGGTTGTTGAGTGTTTAATACAATACACTTATACAGAGCCTCCATTTGACATGTAAAGCTGTATTTTTGACTCCCCCACATTGGTTTTGACTCCTGACTTTCAAAAGACATGTCTATAGGATATTGTTTTTGACACTCGACCTTTGAATCAAAAGATTAGTTAGTTCTTGATAGCCAAGTGTAAAATGGAAGCTTTATTGTTTTTGTTGTTTGATGTTATGTGCATATTGTTGTTTAATGCTGAGGATTTCTTTGATTTAGGTGAAGTTTTACCACAGACAAAACGACAGCGCCCATTCAGCCCTGTAGAAATATCGGAAGAAGATTATTTATTAATGTTAAAAAATCACAAAAAGAAAAAGTTGGAAGCTGAGGTGAGTGAATGTTTGAAACATTTGTGGAAAAGTGTCTCGATTGGTTCAGGTAATCAACATTTCAATGTTAACTATAGATTTATGTACAAGATTATTTACACTACAGTGATGTTTTAATTTTATAGAACTGTCATGGCTATGTATTTCAGAGGTGAAAATCTGTCTGTAACTGACATTGATGGAAGGTGACAGTACTTTTTGTCAGTGTCCCTACCTAGTTTAAAAATACTTTGTATATCACCAGACATTTGGTTGGTGGACCTAGATAGTTCTCTCTACTTAGCATGGGGAATTCATTTTTTATTGATTCATGAATTATGTCAATGAAGTAAGAAATAAAAGAAAAAGTTGATATGGTTTGTGGAACAAGTGATTATTGCAATCAAATTTTCTGTTTGAACTGTAGTGCCAACAAAAATGTATATTTTCAGAAAACCACTGGCCTTTGGTCAGTGGCTTTAGATAGTCATGCACCTCATGTCACCAGGACATTGGTCAGTAACCCTTGATAGCTCTGTACTAGATGACCTGATGTCACGAGGACATCGGTATCGGATCTGTCTTATCAATGTATTTCAATGTTATCAACTTTCTGATTATTTACAGGAGTACCCAGAATTGAATACACAGAACATCACTATGCAAGACATCATGGCGAGGTGTCAGGCCAGCAGGAAGACACCGAAGACACAACCCAGTATGTATCAAATTAGTAATATACTTTTGTTATGAACAGATTTTCAATATTCATAAAAATTCTCTCTGATGATAATACAGTTAGGGCACACTACAAACCATTAGATGTTTTTCTGAGGAAATTTGTCATGGTTTTATCAGTGTATCGAAATTGATATATGGAGTAAATTGTTCAACTTTATATTCACAATGTTGCATGAAATTAATAATTTTATACAAATGGTATACATGAGAGAAAAGTCTTGTCCTCATTTGTATGATTTCACGCAAGAAAAGTCTTGTCCTACTTTGTATGATTTCATCAGAGAAAATTTTAGTCTTTGTATGATTTCACGCAAGAAAAGTCTTGTCCTACTTTGTATGATTTCATCAGAGAAAATTTTAGTCTTTGTATGATTTCACGCAAGAAAAGTCTTGTCCTACTTTGTATGATTTCATCAGAGAAAATTTTAGTCTTTGTATGATTTCACGCAAGAAAAGTCTTGTCCTACTTTGTATGATTTCACGCAAGAAAAGTCTTGTCCTACTTTGTATGATTTCACGAGAGAAAAGTCTTGTCCTACTTTGTATGATTTCACAAGAGAAAAGTCTTGTCCTACTTTGTATGATTTCACAAGAGAAAAGTCTTGTCCTACTTTGTATGATTTCACAAGAGAAAAGTCTTGTCAAGAGAAAAGTCTTGTCCTACTTTGTATGATTTCACAAGAGAAAAGTCTTGTCCTACTTTGTATGATTTACTTTGTATGATTTCACGAGAGAAAAGTCTTGTCTTACTTTGTATGATTTCACGAGAGAAAAGTCTTGTCTTACTTTGTATGATTTCACGAGAGAAAAGTCTTGTCTTACTTTGTATCTGATTATGTTTTGAGCTTTTATGATTGCTTAAACTTTCTATCTCTTTCAAGCTCCAGAAAATTCATCATTATCATTAGCTAAGAAGAAGAAGATCAGATTAAAAGAAAAATCAGACAGAAAGCTCAAGAAAGTGATGAAGATTAAACAAGAAAAGATAAAGACAGAGCCTGGATATAATGAAGAAGGATCAGCTCTGGGGATGAATGACAGCTTCCTTAAGGGCGAGGATGAGGGGGTCCCTGACTTTCCTCTCCCTGAGTAAGTGTTAAAGTATCTGATAATAAGCCCGCCATCATATACTGCCATTCATATAAAACTTTCAATAAATATTTTGCAATAAACCAATCCCTTTGACAGTAGGGACCACCTGTATAAAGTGACATCATACCTATTACAACAACTTAGAATCAGTTGTATGATACCACTGATGTTCATATATTTCAGTCCTGAAATTAGTCGGTCATAACTGTTTCCTGCTAAAATTTAGTTCCAATATTAGACTACTTATTCAGACGAGTCAGGAAATAAAAATTAATTTATGTTAGTGTATGAAAAAAAATATCACTTTGTTTCATTCAGACAGGAAAATTCTTTATTAATTGACAAATTATTATAGAATGTAGTAATTGTTTTTTATTCTACTTGTTTACAATCACAAACTCTATATAGTGCCCAAGTTTCTGTTGCACTCCGGAGAAGTTACTATCGTCAGATTTGACAGGAGATGTGACCTTGTGTATTAACAGTTACTTTATTTTTTGGCGACAACTTGATTAAATTTTATTAAAACATAATATCAAAAATGTCCTAATGCCATGTTTAAACACTTAACATTGCCATTATTCCCCCACAGTACCTGTCCTACCAGGCTTTCCTTCGGTCAACACAACAACTTCTTCAGTCTTATTAAGGATCTACTCAACGAGTTCCAGGACGGCAAGTTTACCACAGCCAATGTAAGTCATGTATTGATTCATATTGTAATTGATTTCAGTATCTGTGATTCATCCATTGGCAGTGGCATGAGAGTGACTTTTTCTCATGTTTGTTATACTTGAAGGTTAGGGTGTAACTGTTGCACGAGAGTTTGTCAAAGTTTCTGTAACGTAAACGTTGGAGGAAAAGATTGGAGAGTGACATTAAAAACATTTTTCTTGTAGTTGGAGGAAAAGGTACGAGAGTGGCAGGAGGCACCAACTAGCTCCCTCAACTCTTGGTTCAGCCTTCAGGCTAATTGGGTGGACAGTGTCATGTCGGCACTAAAATTTTTAGCTGGAGACCTAGTAGGTAAGTCAAAGCTTAACACTTTAAATTGCAGTGATAATTTTCATATGGGACCTCATCAAAAGACTACTCATTTGCTCCTATCCAGGCCAACAAGAAAATTGGTATAACTTGTTTCAAAGTTGTTGCAAAGTGAATCAAGGTTATTATTTCATGATTGTTTGTCTAAAGCTGATATTAAACCTGGGCCTCTGGAATTCATTGAAAAAGACTGCAGAAATATATTACTTGTGGAAATGATTAAAGGCACAAGCTTCCTGTCTTAACAGAAAACTGTTTGGCATGTGCTAACTTGACATCAATCTGCCCCTCCATACCATTGGTGTAGTCCTATGGTATTGTTACCAGAACAGATAACTGGATATTGACACTGCTGCATTCCATAGCTGAATTTTGACAATATTTGTTTTCTTAATAATATTAACAAGATATCTTTATAAAGTATTCATTAATCTCGAACAGAATAACAAAAAATAGTGGGACTGTAGATGTTGTTTTTCACAAAAGTTTCATTGAAATTTTTAAACAGTACTGCAAGTTCGCTGGTTATCATCAAATGTCCTTGAGTAATCCATAGCAAAGACACGTCAAAGCCCATCACATTTCGGTGTGCTGTGCTGTGTTTTATCACTTAAAGAATGGACATCTGGTCCATTATGTCAGTTAAGTCGGGGCTACCAAAGAACACACTGAATCTACTTGTCAACCTGTACTTAGAGATTAATGAAAATAACATTTATTGTAATGTTCATCTGCTTTTAACTGTAATGTTTATCTCTGAAGGTGCCACTCCAGACAACTTTGTCCCTTTTGTGGACTACAAGGAGCGAGCTCAGCAGTGGCGCTGGATCGGTGTTGGCCGAGACTCTGATGAAACTCTCCAGGAACTTTTCAAATATTGGAGTTCAAATAAGAAGGAATCCACAACTGACCTCAATGACAGTGGTCAAGGATCACCGCCACCTCCTCGAAGGTAAGTAGGATGTCAGTGATAGGGGTCAGAATATTTCCATTACAAAGTCATCTAATCCTCCAGTAATAGAGGCCTGGAGTCAACACTCTGCCAGGTATGTTACTTGAGAATAGCTATGGAGTAAAACAGGAATTGCACCAGATGGTCATCTCAAAACCTCAAATACAGTTATTATCTCAAAACCTTAAATACAGCTGTTTAAGATTTGTTTTTTTCACAATTTTTTATTAATGCTTTATATTTCAGTTGGACTTCATTTGTGGTACGAGCAACATCAGATGAGGAAAAGAGTACATTTAGAGAACAGGTAAGAAGTAAGATTCAAAGCTTAGGAAACTGAGTATGGTGTTGAACTCACAAACTTCAGTTGAATACCGGAGAATTGCTCTAAACAGTCAATGTTTAAGCCAGATTTGGGAGGGTTCAGTATTTAGATTTCAGAGTGATCCGTGTTAGGAAGTTTTATTTTAGTTGTAAAAGAATTCATTCAGTTCATTGCTATTTTGTGAAGGGAAGATAAGGGGAGATTTAACTGTACTTATACCACAAGTTGGAGCAGTGAATATAACATTTTTCAAATATATAGGATCAGAATGCTAATTTGTTATTTGTCACACACTGAACTGTTTATCTTACGACTAAATTCAGAAAGTATACCTGATGACATGAGTATACACAGAGAAAAGTATTAACAGGTTTATCAATGGGATTGGATTGGTTTTAAGTTTTGAGCTATCTTTCACTGTAGGGAAATGCTAAAAGAAGTAAATGAAATGATGTTAATATTGTTCAGTAGATATTGAGGTCTCCAAATATAGATAATGTAGTCTTAAAATCTGAAATAATGTGTCTACAAGTCAGAGATAATGTAGTCTACAAGTCAGAGATAATGTGTCTACAAATCTGAGATAATGTGTCTACAAATCAGAGATAATGTAGTCTACAAATCAGAGATAATGTAGTCTCAAAATCAGAGATAATGTAGTCTACAAGTCAGAGATAATGTAGTCTACAAGTCAGAGATAATGTAGTCTACAAATCAGAGATAATGTAGTCTACAAGTCAGAGATAATGTAGTCTACAAGTCAGAGATAATGTGTCTACAAGTCAGAGATAATATAGTCTACAAATCAGAGATAATGTGTCTACAAATCAGAGATAATGTAGTCTACAAGTCAGAGATAATGTGTCTACAAATCAGAGATAATGTAGTCTACAAGTCAGAGATAATGTAGTCTACAAGTCAGAGATAATGTGTCTACAAATCAGAGATAATGTAGTCTACAAGTCAGAGATAATGTAGTCTACAAGTCAGAGAAATCAGAAATAATATGTCTACAAATCAGAAATAATATGTCTACAAATCAGAAATAATGTAGTCTACAAATCAGAGATAATGTGTCTACAAATCTTAGATAATGTAGTCTCAAAATCTTAGATAATGTAGTCTACAAATCAGAAATAATATGTCTACAAATCAGAAATAATATGTCTACAAGTCAGAAATAATGTAGTCTACAAATCAGAAATAATGTGTCTACAAATCTGAGATGATGAGGTCTCCAAATAAGAGATAATATGGTCTTTCATTTCCAAAACTTCACTCGGTCCAAAGGTTGTTTGACATTAGTGTAGCAGGGCTTTAACAACTAATTAGGCCAAGATCAGGTCAAATTTTCTGAGAATAGAGTAGAGTAATCCTGGCACATTCAACTTGTTTGATTGTAGTTGTTAGGTTAGTTTTTTCATGACTGTTTATGCTTGCCTTCCACATTCCAGGTTTATTCCAAACAACTGTACATAAAGTAAAGAAAGATTTTACCAGGAATATCAAAGCAAAGAGATACTTGGTGTTATAGTGTAGTTCTTGGTTACAAAATAATTGCCCTTAAAGTGATGATGTTTGATTTATATGTTTGAAATGTGTGTATCAAATGCTGATTCATTTTAAATTTCAGGAAAAGAGACGTTTTGAAAACCCTCACAAAGCATTTACATACAAAATGCATGGCTATGAGTCGGTTGTAGGGCCAGTGAAGGGGGTCTACAGCAAGGAGAATGCCATGAACAAAGCAAGGGAGCATGCCTTGTTAATCTCTAACAGGCCTTCCTTTGTCACCATCCTTACACTGGGTATGTATAAAAGTGAGGGAGAATTCATTGTTAATCTCTTAACAGGCCTTCCTGTGTCACCATCCTCACATTGGGTATGTATAAAAGTGAGGAAGAATTCATTGTTTAATTCTAACAGGCCTTCCTTTGTTACCATCCTCACAATGAGTAAGTTTAAAAGTGAGGGAGAATTCATTGTTAGTCTTTAGTGATGAAGCCTGATTTTCCAACAGAACTTTTTTGTCATTACCCTCACATTTGGTTTGTATATCTGTAATTATTACATTAAAATTTCTTTTCTTTTCTTGTTTTAAGGTATTAAATAGGATCTTTATAAAAACTGTAGAGGAAGTCATTATCATTACATAAACATCTTAAATCATTGCAATTATCTTACAGTTAGAGATGCTGCAGCACGATTACCCAATGGAGAGGGAACACGTGGTGACATTTGTGAGCTGCTGAAAGATTCTCAGTTTCTAGCTCCTGGAGTATCAGATGCACAGGTATAGTATTCACGTTAGAAGTCTGTAGCATTATCTTTTAGCAGTATTATGATTTATATACTAAATCTGTGCCGACATTGACAGAAATTTTAATAATCTCACCAGGAGCTAGTTTCAGGAACAACCAACTTTCTACAGCTTATTGGAATGTCAAATTTTCATGGTAAAAATTTTTGCAAATGTTTCATTTCGTTGTATTACACTTGCTTTTTTGTACCTTTTTATACTGTATTGAACATAAATATCATCAAAAAGTATAAGTAATATATCTGTCAGCTTTGACATATTAAGGCAGTTTTAGAGTGTGCAGTCTTCTGTAGTTGACTGTGGAGTGTTAGATTTCATCAACTGTAACATACAATATAATAACGATTGTGTAGGAGAGTGATGTTGCTGTGTTATCTATCCAGATAAATGTGGTGGTTAGTGGGGCTCTAGACAGGCTCCACTCGGAGAAGGACCCTTGTGTCAAGTACGATGTCAACAGGAAACTGTGGATCTACCTTCACAGGAGTCGTGCTGAAGAGGAGTTTGGTAAGTCTCAAAAGACGTTTACATGGCTACCATTAGTACAGTCATGGTAGCTGTAAAGGCACACAGATTACTACAGAAAAATGGCAGTTCAGTCTTAGGTGTGGTGATGTCAGGAAAACTTTCTTCAGAAGTCACATTGAGACATGTCTGTAGGCATGAGTACAAAGCAGGATGTCTTCAAGGGATAAACCTTTTTCAGCGTTAACTATTGATCAAGCTTAGGATTCTTCATTTTCATTTCATATGTATCAAGTCTAACAAGTTTTAATTGATTTATGTCAGTAAATATCTACATGTTGGGAGATGACTATTGTTTTGATGTAATCTTTTTTGAGGATCTCTTTTATTGTGAAGAATGTTTTTTATGAGGTAATATTTATGTTTGTTCCAAAATCTAGAGCGGATACACCAGGCCCACGCTGCAGCTCAGAAAGCCAGGAAATCATTACAGAAGCCTAAAACACAGAAAACCGTAAGTTCAAGTCTAACACATCCTCAAATGATATCATCAGGCCTTCATTGTAATTACGTATGTGTACATACATGTGTTTGTATGGTCACATATACGCACATGATTTTTATACACCTAGTATGTTAATTTTTGAGGTTAAAAAAGGTTGAATCAATCAACAGTTGGTGAAAAAAAAAGGAAAAAGGGATGACAGTATTTTTCACAGTAACCAAAATTTCTGTTTAAATTAATACAAATTATAAATTTTATGATGAGTTTAATGACAGTATTTTTCACAAGAACTAAAATTTCTGTTTAAAGAAATACAAAGTATAAAATTTCTGATGAGTTGTCGTTGAATTATCGTTGACAATATGCATATAGCACTCAATAAAATCCTGTTTTGGAAATATTAACATTGATTCTGATTTACTGTTTGTGTAAAAGGTGATGTTTTATATGTTAGTATCATGGTATCCTCTAGGTAAAGTCATTAACAATCTATTGAATGTTTTGTTTATACAGCAGAAAGTCAAGGAGTTGACAAGCCAAACCTCAACCACTCCCAACTTGACATCAGCCAGTAGTCCACGCCTCACTCAATCCCTCAGTGCCAGTACAGAGAGCCTCAATGCTCTAGACAGCAGTCACACGCCCTCCAGCCCTGTGGTAACTGGAAGTCCCACTCCCAAGGGTACTCCCAACAGCCCTGTAGTAGGACAGGTCAGCCCCAGAGCAACAGGAAGTCCACGGACCACCTCAACCCTGGCCTCCACAATGAATAAATCTGGGACTACAGCCAACCTCCTGTCTAGTGGAAGTGGTTTGCCATCGATGAGTGGTGCCACTATTAGGTTCCAGATACAGCAACTGCAGCAGCAACAGCAGCAACAACAACAGCAGTTACAGCATGCAGGAAGTCTTCCTGGGACACCTACTAAAGGTACACCCTCTGGTTTTGTATCAAAATGCTAAAAATAAACATTTTCATGAACAAATTCTGGCCTGAAATGACTTTGATTGTGGTATTAAACAATACAATGAAGGAATGTGACTTCAGAGTTATCTTCTTAGGTGTTTCATTACATACAACAGTGTTGTAAAGTCAGTTGGGACTTGTCTAAATATATGGTATACTATGTCGGGAACAGAGCTACACAACAAAGTATGGAAAATTACAAGAATAATAGAGATACTATTGTTGTAATATAGTGTTATTTTTATAATCTTATCTCAGGACATGTTTTTGAAATTTCGTGTATTCTTTTCATTTCTAAACTGTATAGTGAACCTGAATATGAATGTCAAACCATATTTGTGCACCAATGGTATATGTCCAAATTAATTTCCTTGAGACTAGTGTTTTATCCAGTGTTAACACTTTGTTACTCTTCAGGCTTGTCTCCAGGGAGCAACAGGTCACCGTCTGTTAATGTTTCTACAGCCTTACAGCAATCACAGCCTGACACACCAACTGGAGTCTCTAAGACACTAAATCTGCACAATGTTCGAGCCACACTGATGGGCTCAAACCCACAGGGCAGCCCTACCTTAGCCCAGAGTCTAGGACAACAGATCTGCCCAGAGCTTTTTATACAAGGGTCACGAGGTGGCACGCCTAGTAACTCCCCAGCCCACACTCCTACTCCTTCCCAAACCCCAACTTTGGTCACCAAGAAAACCACTACTGTCGCCACTACTGCCACAGGACTTCAGACTATGATCGACGCTAGCAACACTACATCAACAGTGCCATCATCTGGTGTTGGGGCACCTTTAGTGGCCCGCTTAGTCGCTGGAAACCAAATGGTTTCTGTGAGTAATCTGTTAGCAGCACAGAGAGCTCAGGCACAGTCTCCACGCGCTAGTACTACCATTAAGATACAAGGTATGTACACACCTGTTTTATCAACGATACCCACCTTTTATCAGAGGTGTTTATGGAGGACATTCATTCTTGATCAAAGTAAAATTTTAGTAATGTAATTACTGATATATTAAGGGAAGTTTTAAGGTAGTTTAAATTCATGGGTGAATGTTACAACCATTCTATTTATTAATCATCGAAACTGCAAATTCAACTTTACACACAATCATTTTATATAACACACGCACATGAACAATGTTGCCAGAATATTTATAAATCAATGGTCTTTTGGAAATGGGTTTCCAGGCAGCAACATGGTACACCAGGTGACTGGAGGAAAACCTGTACAGTTTACAGGAAAGCCCAGAGGTCAGCTGGTGCAGATAGGGGGTAAAGGTCAACAGCAGATCCAGGGTCTGTTACAGACCCAGCAAGGTGCACTTCCAACCATCAGCATAATATCACAGGGCAGTGGAGGAGGGGTGATGACTCTTGCCCAGCCTCGCACTCCTACAGGTATGTTTGTACAAATGTGACATGTTCTTATAAATGACTAGTAGAGGTTAGCTACTTTAAGAGATTTCTATACTTTTCAGATGTTGTCATGTGATTTCAATATTTTCTGAGTTTTTCTTAGATTTAGAGTGTGTTGGTCATACTAATTTTCTTTTGTTTGTATGAAAAGCTACCTCAGAATCATCAGTGGGAAGTCCAACCACACATACAGTCACCACTAACTCTCGCCTGACCAACCCCTCAGTGGTCAATACAGCCACACCAGCTGGCTCTCAGGCCATGGTCCAGATGGTCAGTCAGCCTAAAGTAGTAACACCAGGGCAAGGTGGCATTGTGGTTACTCAACTTCCTCATGGCAGCATCACACTGCGTCCTGGAGGCATGCCAGCATCCACACAGGCAAAGGTGGTCACTGCAGGCCAAGCCGGTCTCTTACCTCAGTTCATAGTCCAGCAGTCAACAGGATCACTTACCAGTAACAATGCAACTCTCACCCAGAGTAAGTTAGATTGTCTGTTTAATTTTGATTTCATTGGAAAAACTCTGGTGATATAGTGTATTTTATGTACAGGTTTGAGGTAAACGGATACTTTATATGGTGTATGTCTACATACTTTCTGTAAAGGTTTGGTGGTAAAGGGGTACTTGATATGGTGTATGTCTACATACTTTCTGTAAAGGTTTGGTGGTAAAGGGGTACTTGATATGGTGTATGTCTACATACTTTCTGTAAAGGTTTGAGGTAAAAGGGTACTTGATATGGTGTATGTGTATATACTTTATGTAAAGGCTTGAGGTAAAGGGGTACTTGATATGGTGTATGTGTATATACTTTATGTAAAGGTTTGAGGTAAAGGGGAACTTGATATGGTGTATGTATATACTTTATGTAAAGGTTTGAGGTAAAGGGGAACTTGATATGCTGTATGTCTGTATACTTTATGTAAAGGTTTGAGGTAAAGGGGTACTTGATATGGTGTATGTATATACTTTATGTAAAGGTTTGAGGTAAAGGGGAACTTGATATGCTGTATGTCTGTATACTTTATGTAAAGGTTTGAGGTAAAGGGGTACTGATAGATTATCAGTGGAACAGATGGTTATAATTGCAATGAAAATAATATATTATGAATACATTTTGTTTATCATTACAAATTCTGTTTGATTTTCTTCAGAAATAATGTTGGCAGTATTAATTATGATAAAGTTCATTAATCATTAGATTGCCAAAGTTAGATTATATAAAGCATTTCCGTTTTTTAAAGGACCATTAAAAAGTTATATAACTTCTGTATTACTGTTTATGCATTGATCAAGGTTGATAATGTCTTTAGCGACAAATCAGCACATAGCTTTAGTATGTAACATTCTTTTTCATTCAAATTGAAGGATGTTACAACATAAGGAAATCAGTCAACATACTTTTTATGTTCCTTCATTGTAAGATTAACTTGTTCTTTGTGTATGAATAATACATTGTTTTTGTGACAGGTTTTTCTGGTGGAAAGCCACTCCAGATCATGAGTGGGGCAAGTCCAAAGCAGGGCCAGAACATTCAAGTGGTGCGGACTGTGCTGGGTCAGCAGGCTGGACTCAAGCCTGGTCAGGCTACCATCCTCATTTCCCAGCCCCAGATCCCTGAAAACCAAGCAACTCAGGCCACAGTGCTGCCCTCTGGACAGATTATACCAAACCCAGCCAAGACCCAGGGCAAGAGTTCACAGAAGGGCAAGAGTCAAACCGGTGCTGTATATGCCCGAATTATAGCCCCTCCTCCAGGGCTAAAACTTGCTGGTGGACAGGGAATTTCAAACCAAGGTGTAGGAATGTTACAGACTGTTAACAAATTAAACATGGTTCAAACGGCTGGTCGAGGGGCAGTTTCTATGACACCGGTCGGAGAAACCAGCCCACACACTTTGGCAGCCACTGCCTTATCTACTAGCTCAACTGAAGTGCCCAATTCAGATGCCAAGTCATGACATAGATGAAAGTAGTGTGTTCAGTGTATACATTGTCTTTATTAGGAGTTCTCCTTTAGGGTTTAAAAAAAATGAATTGAATTGAAGACTTCTGTTTGTATATGGTTGCGATATTTATCCTACGATAAGTCCAAGGAGACAACATTTTAACTCTAAATCAATGTTGAGGGTGGGCTTATAACAGGACAATGTTCTAGTGTTTGTTGACAGTTCTATTAAAGCTGTAACAGATGTTGGAAGACTTACTACTGGGTATAGGCTTAGTGCAAGATAAATATTTGTAGTGAAGTAGAACTATTTTTATACCTGGTTTTCATAAGACCGACAATCTCTTCAAGGGAACAGTGTTTATAACGGATATTTACATGTTTACAGTAAAGGAGAGCTAACTGCAAAATAATAAACGAAAAAAATTCAAAACTAAAGGTCTTTCTGATTTATTCAATTCTTATTACAAAACAGCATTTGATATCTTTTTCAAGATATGTAACACAAAATTATTTTTTATTATTTTCTTTCCCTCATCAGGAACAAATCTTAATGGTCACTTGCAAATCATCAATACATGTATATATTTCTGGGATACCAGCATCAGCTCTGTGATACAAAGTAAATTGAAATCACTTGATAAAGTATAACTGTTTTAAACACCCCCACCCCCATTCCTACCCCCGGGCTTATTGCAGGATAAATTAAGCAGTCAAAACTAAATTGAAAACATAAAAATGAATGCTGCCATTTTGGTATTTGTTTTTGTATTTTGCCTGATAATTTAATTGAATCACAACGGGTACTTTTGTTAAAAGTGTTCCAAATGTTTGTGATCAGATTGAGTCTGATGTTTCTGGCCTTTGCAAAGAATTTGTTCAAAATGTAATATAAAAAAAAATAGATATACTGGTCAATTTACTTTGAAATGAAAGAAAAAAATTTGTGAGTGAATTTTTGATATGCATAATGTATCTTTGTTGATGATATAAACATAAATACATGTATATGCACATTTATTTATGACTAGCACAAACATGTTTGAAAACTGTTATCAGTAATTTTGAATTTGATCAGTATTTTCGTTAATGTAAATAGCTCTTTGATTGATCTGTACAATCACTGGGTAAACTTTTCATTCTAATAGATGTAAAAAAAAGTGTGATAACATTTAAATATTTTTATGACATATTTGGCTTGGAGAGGCCATTAAAATGAACTCACTATATTCCTATAATTAGTGATGATTTAGCTATTGGATATTATTTTGTTTGATCAGTTCTCGAAGGCACTTCTTTTGATGTGTGATCCCAGGATGAGTGGTTGGCACTATCCATATCCAACACCACAAGCGAACTGTTCCAACAGTGATAGGTTTAGTACTGTTCATGTTCATTTAAATTACACACAAATTTGGAAACACTGTAACACAGTGTCAGTACTTTTGGATATTGGTAACTATACTATAAGACTTTGCAATACTATCCAGTTTCCATCTGATAAATAACAGTTATGTTTAACACGGGGTACTAATACCAGTGTAGTGCTTTCTCAGTCACATTTATGCAAAGTACTATTTTTTTATTGGTTCCAGTCTAAGTAGACAATCACTTGAGCATTTAAAGGGTGTGTTCGGTTCCTCACTTCTTTTGATTTGAGTAATAGAATTAATGCAATATGCAGTGCACGATAATTCAAATGTTCATTAAGAAAGAAAAAATTCTCATTGATGAAAACATTCATAGAAACTATGAAACATTTTTTTTCCTACTAAATTATTTAAATGTTTATAAATTGTATAAATCATAAAACTGATTGTGAATTTTCTGTTATTTCTTAAAAGTGAAATTGTTATTGTATAACATGTAGTACTGAAATGTAGACCAGACACCCAAAGTAAAGAAGACAAAATAGCATCCTGTCTGTGATTGAAATTCTGATATAAATGAAATCTAATTTAATTTCTAAACAGGTATCATGGTTATATGGTACTTTTCTTCATGTTATATCAAACATATACATCGGGGGGTGTTTTTGTTGGAAGTGTAAACTAAATTATGATTGTGAAAGATTGGTTCAGAATGTTTGGAGAGCAATTACAGGGGCTGTAACTCTTGGTGGCTGGAGATTTCATCAGTAAAGTCAGGGACATAAAATATGTACATCCCAGGATAAGTGCTTCACTTTGTCAATCTCAGTTTTACTGTTATACAAGGTAATTTTCAATTATGAATTCTGTTGTTGGTCATTTTGTTGTTATGAATAGTTAACAAACATTCAAAAGAAAGCATTTATCACCAGAATAATCAGTTTTGGAAAGTATTGCACACTTTATGCTTGCTTGGCAAGTATTGATACATGGTGACATATTTAACAACAGTGTATGATTACAAGAGTGTCAAAACTTTTGTCTTTATCAGCTTAACCAATGTAGTTAATCAAGTGTTCCTAATTATCAAGGTCATGGATGTAGAAAGTCTTTAAAACTTTTAATTATATACATTAATGATCAACGTCAATGTGGAAATTTTCTCTGTGATACACAGTAAGCCTGAGGATCATCTGATACATACATGTATATGTCAACTTGTTTGGTGTTATGTATAGGCACCAAAATTTATTAAAAGGTTATAAATGTGTTTGTCTGTTGGCCAGTATTGTTTTATCTCACTTTAGGGCAAAACTAGAAATATAAACAGGAGAAACTGGTCATACAACAAGTTTGTGTAATTATCTCATATTTTCATCATCAGTTTTCCGTCATTTTGACTTTCTGCTGCTTTTATACAGTTTGAAATTCTTTGAAAAATTGACTTTTTAAACCAATATACATGAAGTGTCCTGTAAGACTCTATTGTTTAATATTAAGTTAGGTACATAGAATCAGGTAATTTTACAGAACACATAACTGTATTTCAATGTAAAAAAAGTTTTAGGATTGAATCCCTTAAACTCTCTTAAAGGCTGTGGATTAATTTTTGAAAAGTGTAAAATCTCTAAAACGATCTGAATTATTTCCTATGTTGACCTGCATAAATCAATAAAGTGTCAGTGTTTATAGTACAGGTTTCCTACCTTATCGAACTTTGGTAGAATGTCAAAATGATGTTCGAGCAGCACAAATTCAAAAGGATGTGTTTTATTACAGAAAAATAATTGTTGGTTGTAGACATTTTATTTTTCTAAGAATTCATTTCATATAACATTTGTAGAGTGTTTTTGTTGCATCATAGTTGATAGACTTAATGTACTTATTATAAGTTATGAAGAGGAAGACTTGCATAATTTCAATCGAACTGTGAGGTTTCTTACTAATTATGCCTAATTTTGCATTAATTGTAATTAAGAAACTTAGAAGTGTCATTAAGTAGGTCTAGTGCACACAGGAGTTAAGTCCCCTGACGTATTGTAAACATTGAGTTGTGTTCTTTGTATATAGCGAGTGTATAGTTGTTAAGTTTGTATATTCTGTTACAGAATCTCTGTACATAAGGATGTGAAAACATGAAGGAGACTTCTTCAAATGATAATAACATAATTATTAAAATAATAATTATCCGTGACTAATGTTGTCTTTTTTTTTGTTTTAGACCATAAACAGGTTGTTGTCACTATTCCATGGTTCATCGTAAATTCTTATTCATTAGATGGGAGGGAGTTGGAAATATACTTTTGAATCCTGTCCATCTGTCTGTTATCTCTTTCCTATTTGTCACTAGAACTTTAAACTGGATGTACGGGTTCACTTTGGTATGGTTGTGTATTGTACATGTTTATCAAACGTAGGTCACTCTGACCTACATTTTGACCTTTGAAAAATTTAGTAGCAATGGTTCAAGCTGTAATGACTTCGGTATTTACAGACATGATATACTGGACATCTATTTACAGGTTTTCACCATAAGATACTGAACTAGCGAATTTTTATTGAGATTAATTACATCATATACTTGAGTTCCTGTTCCTATGACATGGTCAAAATGAGACATTCTGTTTTTTGATACCAAATGGTGAAATTTGTGTGTTGCAACATAAACCTGTTAAATATTGTAGATTTACACGTAATTTCCGTTGCGTTTGATCAATAAATAGGGAGATACACCATATGATGTCATCTGACACTACATAAAACCCAATATATGTTTAAACTTTTTGTCAATATTAATTAACTACCATCAAAAGACCAAATACAAACCCAGATAAATTGAAATATAAAATACTTTATTCAACATGAGTGACATTTGATATGTGTTATTGTAAATGGTATGATATCATATATGTATAAAAAAAAATGGCAAGATTCACCATCGTCAAACTAACCATACTTAAAGATGTAACCATGAAAATTTTCGCAGGGGTTTAATTTCGCAATTTATGCGGGTAAACTATATGCATGTGGTTTATTTTTACAATCAATTTTCATTTTATTTCATCTATAAAACTTAAGGAAATTGTGATCTAGCAACGTTCGTGGAATTAATGTAAATTTCCCTCTTGCATAAATTTTCATGTTTGCAGTACACAATTTCCAAAAATTGGTTACATAGAACACAGTTACATATAAATTATGTTGTGAAAAGTATATCATAAATATCATATACAAATTTGTCTTCATTTGCAAAACGTCGCAAAATGGAATGTTCAAAGTAAATGAACCATGGGTTATTTAATGCAATGATAATAATTCCTTTGAAAGCTGAAAGATTCTTTCAGGACACATTTAGTAATATTTACAAACATGATTCAATAAATATTCATTAGAACCATTCCATAAGCAAGAAAGAAGATTTTCTTTGCTTATATATCGCACATTCAAATCTCATCGGTCATTTTTTTTCCCCTTTTCCATAGTTCTATACAAAAATGAAAAAGATATGCATGCCGTATATTCTGGAACTATTGATTGTTAAAGGAACAGAACTAAAATTCTGTATATCCTATGTCTTGAAGTTTAAAGTTATACCAAAGTATTGAAGATCAATGTTTCATGTAGATCTGTTGAAAGAAAGGAAAGAACATTATTTGGCAATGACATGTAATCAACAGCTGACGACATCTTGTAGTCTCATGTAAACTCAATCAAGTAGAAACTTTCATGAAAAAAAATTCTGTACATGTAATGCATACAAGTTACAAACTCCATTGAAGAATTTCCACTGTTTTCCAACAGAAGCATATAACAATGGGGGCATTTATCAATGAGAAGGCTGGAGTATTTTACTATAATAAGTAGTACCCTCCCCTAGAAACATTGTTACATGCCCCTGAGCATACAACAAAGTTTCATAATATTTAGAGTACAGGCAATATCGATAGCAAGTTTTGTGTTCACAATAAGGTACACTTCATAGTTTACAAACAAACATGTATATCTTTCTTCAATCTTACTATCCACTTCAAAAACAGAATAAATCAGAACATACAATAATAACAAAACAATACCAATTCATATCTACCCATCATCTCCTAGCTAATTATGTACAAATACTGAGGTACAATCTGGCAACACATAGCCACTGCATTTAGAAACACTATACAGACATTTATTTTTCTTCCCACACCAGTTATTTTTGTCTTTTATCTGCAGATGAACATGGTGTTAGCTAGATTAATGTACACATTAGGGACTACCACTGACGTATGACAATACTGTCCTGTAATATGGGTCAGAATACATTAAGTCTGATTCTACAAGAATGAAGCACTGTGCAAGGAATTCTGGGAAGAATAAATCTACTTTATAGATAATGACATAGAGATCATTATGATCTGGAGGCCTACTCTAGTGATTAATAAGTTAATCATATATACAACCATGCTTTATGTAGTGTATGATGTCACAACCATTGTATGAATCTCCACAATTTCCTAGCGATCAAGATTGTCACATACTACAAAACACTTAATGAGAAGGAATGAGAATAGAAGGCCTGATTACACAACCAGAATACAATCAGAATTCTATAATCTATAACACAACCAGTATTCTATAATCTATAACACTGTCAGTATTCTATAATCTGTAACACTGTCAGTATTCTATAATCTATAACACAACCAGTATTCCGTAATCTGTTTATCATCACTTCACACAAATTTCAACTTTAGTTTTAGTATTATTGTACAGCTGCAAAGTTGTTCAATTCAATACCATCTCGAACTCTATGTACATAAGTGCTAGTACACATCACATGGGTCATTTGTCTGATGAAGGTTACCATGTAGTCATGTAAACACCATACTAATTTTTTCTAATGGTTGTGTTATAAGGCCTGCTATTCTGCTGAAATTCTGCAGCATACCCAAAGAAAATGTTATGAAATGACTATGTGGAATGTTTTAATTCTCATCAGAATTTTCATTAACATCTACTTAGTTTTAATTCTAGATTTCAAGAACATCATTATGTCAGTAAGATATTTCTTTCTAACATGATCTTAACAATTGAAAAAATCCTAATAAATTTATGCTGCTGAGAGATAATATAATGAAAATGAAGTGACACTTATTTAAAAAAGGTGAAAACTTACAACAACATCAATTTCATAGTTAATCAGTATATCATTGGTTTTACATGTATTAAATGGCACAAAGACTTAAGTTCACATATTTAGATATCAGTGTCCGTAGGTACAATATTGTATCTGATACAACTCCAGAAATAAAATCTTTTTCCGTCACTTTCTTTTTGTGTTTCATAGAGTTGACTAAACTATATATACACTAAGTGAACAAAATAATTAAGGCCAGATTGATTTTAATTTTAGGGCCTGGCTACAGGACCATGACATGTTTGTGTCTCAATATAACAACCATTTACTGTATATCAGCTGATGAAGGAATCGTCAACAAAAAGTTGTTGCTATAATCACAAACTATCTGATGGGTAAATTACTATCAGTCAAATATCTGTAGCATATTTCATACAAAAAATATTAAATCGCGTATGTAAAACTAATGTGATTTGCAAAACTCAAAAAATCAATTATACCAAAATTAATTTGCTTCAAATTTGATGTTTCCAGTTAACAATGATGAATTAGCGATGTCACATTATAAAGTGTTGTAGAGAATGGAGATTATAGCTAGGATTAAACTTAGAGCAGACATTCTCACACTGTTACTATTATTACAGTATTCTTCATTGCAAAAACATTCTACAACTGACATTTCAACGTATGTTGTCTCGTGACAGTATGTGGTGGTCTGTGATTGGCATCCTCTGTAGACTTCAACGCCTCCTGGAAATAAACAAACAAGAACATGGCATTAATATAAAAAAAACTGTTACTTAATTTACACTGAATATAGTATAGAGATGTGTTCAGTTTGATCAGACACCTGAACATCCTCAATACTCCAGGAGTTATGCTCACTATTGCTCTATGCACCTCTGGAAAATTTCCTGACAAAACTGTAGCAAAGGAATTTAATTGTTCTAAAACAGGTATGAGGAGAAAAAGAAGTGACAAATCAAAGACTAATATGTTCCTTCAAAGTCTGTACAATTTACCGTTATGCGACCTCAAAATTCATTTGATGTACATTAAAGGATGAAACTAATCACCTTGTCTTGTCCACAAGGTTTCAAACATGGAACCTTCAATTCTGCCATGAAATGAAGCAAAGAGGAGAAGAGAAGGGAAGAGATCAAACTTTTAAATAACAAATAAAGAGCAAATGATGGTGGATGCCAAGATCCCTCCGAGATCTCTTGTTCAAATTAATGACCTTCACCCTCTTAGAGGTCAGTGGTGTCAAATGTGTTAAAATTTTAAAATACCTTCTTACTAACGAAGAAGCCCAGGATATTTATATTCTGCCTGTACTCTACTAGGATAAAGGTCTACCAAGTGTGTTAAAATGAATGACTTTCAATGATTTCAATGTCACAGGAGTCAAATGTGTAAAATGCTTTGGAATAACTTCTCTGCTTGGATGAATCACTACCAATTTTGTTTAACTTAATGGCTTTGAACTGCTTTTAAGGTCAAAGTTGTCCATATTCTTTTAACAAATTCTGAACACCTCAATGACTAAGAGGCACGTTGATATTGGACTATTAAGTTTATTTAAATTAATGACCTTGACCCACTATCAAGGGTCAAATTTGTTCAAATTTTCTCAATTACCAGAAGAGGCCAGCAAGTGATATTGGAACAATAGCATGCTTACATGAAGGATTACCAAGTTTGACCCTGAATGACCTTGACCCATAAGTTGTCACAAGGGTGAAATGATCAAACATCTTCCAAACACCAAAAATGTCCCAGAAATATGATAATTTTGCCTTTCTTGGAAGAAGCCATATAATGTTTGAAAAATATAACTCTAATATACCTTCAAAAAATAAGTTGGTAAATATATCTGACACTGACACACTTATTATGTTTCAATTGTAAAGTTTGTTTACAGGCAGCATTGAGTGATAAGTGATTGGTACAAGCCAATCGGACCTCTTGTTATAAATCCTTGTAAAATGTTAAACAACAGTACATAAAATGAAAAGCTATTTTTATAAATCTGACCAATACATTACTTCTATCATCATTACCTTGGGGACGAATACCTCTCCGCTTCACACAGCTACCTGAACACTCATTGGCATCAGGGTTGGTGTATGCAAAACGGTCTCCACATTTCGTGTCCGGGTAGTTACAGCTGTAACACTTGATACTCGCTACACCTGTCGCGCAATAAAACAGTTCAATTATTGTTATGTTTGTATTTAGAAAACATCATAAGAAGTATTCAGCCAAAGCCGGAGTTGGAGCTACAACTACATTGAAATCTCACTTTCTAACAATCAAGTTGGTTAAAGGAAAACTCCCGTTAATGAAAATTTTGACTCCAAGGACATCCAAAACACATAAACTCTCAATCACCTGTAACTTAAACCTGGAATGGTCATTAGCACCAAACAAATCTGTAATAAGGAGGAGCGAACTGAAAAATATCCTGCCGACATGTTGCTTTAATGTGTATGGTACCGTGTTCTCTGTTCTTTTATCTGTATGTCTATCATTATAATCATAAGTTAACTTTACGACTATATACACAATATACTTCATCATATTAAAGCCAACAGGGGGGTGGGACAATTATGTGGACATTGGTGGGTTAAAAAGGTAAGTTTTTTAATGGATACAGAACGGTTTTAAAATATTTGTTACAAAGACTGCACCTAAGTAATACACCTTTTACGTCAATTTTTGTTTTGTTCCTAAATATTGAAGTCTTTCCAAACCCTTAAACAGTCTTGGAAAAAACCTGTTGTTCGGCACATCAGTGATAAAAAATATATATTCTCTTCTTTAAAAATGCAGTTTTACAATATTACTGCATCTGTTTATAACTTTTAAATTACTATGAAACATGCGTGCAAGCTGTAATAGTAGGATCATAGATAGAAATATACTGTGAATGTGATGTTTGCTTTGATTGGGGCGGGGCACAATTCATGCTGACATCGTATCGAATAATGAGTCAATATCCACACAGAGAAGCAGCTGAAATCATAATTTCTTTTATGAATGTGATTCATTGTTATTCACGTCTGGACTTTGCCGACAACATACTTACCACCAAGGAAAAAGATGGATAACACTATGAGTGAAAGGAACCACCTTTCCATTCTCCAATACAGAACTTCCTTATCCTTAATCACTTCACTGGAGATTTAAAAGCAGTGAAACCGGAAATTGACCGGAAGTAAACAATCTCAATTACCTCCCCTGGCAAAGAGGTCTAGTTGGCCCGCTGAGATTGATATTACGGCACACTACAGCCCGCAGGAGATATACACTGAGCGACCAGGTTTTTATTTCCATTTCTGCATCGTAACGACTGTCTTATATGCAAGATATTAGCAACAGCAATATAACCATCAAGAAATGGTACCAAATAGTCAAAATTTCCCGAGTTAAGACCATTAATGAATAACCACCTAATGAGAAATCTTGAAAAACGCAGTCTTGACAACATGAACCTTCGGTTCCAAATCTAAGTACTCCCGTGGGACACAATTGGTTATCACCATCATCAATTTACTGCAATCATGTAACAGAGGCAAGCGTGTCGATATTGCAATACTGGGTCTTCTCTACAAAATACTAACATTACGGGATCAGCTAGTCTCATTCCTGACAAAACGGAAAATGTGGAACTGAGAGGGAAATGTTCTGAGGAAGTCACTGTTGACTCAGGAGAAGCAAAGTGAACAGTGTTAGGCCCCATACTCATTCTGGTCACTTCAAAGTTATTAAAGAATCTGGAAACATTGACAGATAACGGGTATGCGATTGGTACAATTTTGAATCCCCAACACAGAGAGCTCTCTCCACTCATATTTATATTGAATTAAATTATAATCATCGTTTATCTGTTGATGGACAGATAAACGACAGATGTCATGGAATGGTGTAAGCTCAACTTTGGGCGAGTCCTTCAGACCAGGTTATCGGCTAATTTTCAAACTTTTGAAAGTTAAAAAAACTAATAACAATGACATTTTCCCCATTTCGAAAGTTAAAAACCTAATAACTATGACATCAAGAGGCATCTACACAAGGAATTTGAGAAAGTTCTAACCAACAATGATGATTAACAAATTTACAAACTTTCATTGTCAAATCTAAGATGGCCGCCTGTCAGCCATTTTGTTTCTCTGGTAAATCTCAAAATCATAGCCTTGGACACAACTAGCAACCATGAGGAACCTACATATTACGGACAGAGTAACCGCGGACGTGGAGTTCGTGTCAGTTTTTAACTAGTGCTGTATAGTGTAGGCCTAGGCCAAGATAGAAAATTGATAACTACGCAAACATTCCAACAACGCCAAGAACGATTGTTTGGTGGACTTGCTGCTTTCTCAATACCTTTTATCCCATCTTATACCAAATAATGGAGAACAGATATGTTTAGAATGTCTTCCATGCGAACTAGTGAAAACTTTGGCATTTCACGTGCGTAATTTATTCACATTGCATGCTGAGTTTCCAAAATTATTTCCGGGTGATCGTTGCATCTGTAAATGGCGTTCCCTCGTGTGCATTACTATCTTCTATGACTAAATCACAGAATCTGGGTGAAAATGCTATTTCGGTGGCAACTGTTTGGATGGTCGTTTTCCCTTTCGAACCTCTGAAGTCCTTTAAATTACAAGCATTTGCTCATTTTGTGGCCCTTGTTGCTGCGAGATACAAACAGACCGGTACAGTCCTGCAGCACCCGACATAACCCAAGTCACTCAGGTACTGCACAGGATCTGTTATACTTATTAGCCGGCCTGGGTTTCATTTTTATTTGAAGCATAAAACTGTTTCGTTTGCAAATATAGTAACTAACTAATTCGAGAAGATGTGAAAAAAATCGCCAAAGTTACAACTATATATCGGCCACGATATGGCAACAATGATCGTGTTATTTGTAATGCTAGGACTGCCTGGATTTTTAATTCTATTCTTGTATACCATACGTCTCCATCTTCAACAGATGTATGTTGATCAAAATGACATGAATATGACAAACAAGAGAAGGTGAATTGACAGCATTATTACTATTTGCGCCAAAAAGAAACCGGGCGATAGCCAAATACCAATTATAGTAATACAAAAAGTTATGTAAATGTAAGCACAGTTCTATGACGGTTCCTTAATAAGTGAGGAACCAGATTTTTTTTTATAGGGCGGGGGGCCTTATGTTTGTTAAATGCAAAAACCTTTTTAGTAGTGTATCTGGCCTCGCATTTTCTTTCTTTGTTCTTGGTGATATATTATAAATATCATCCTCATACATTTTAAACCGTACTATCTTCGTTAGATAATAATCACAGATTGCATTGTCCATAGGGTGGCAGACCAATCATCAAAAGGTTGTTATCAGCTCTGAAGTATCAAAATGCATCCCCATAAAGTAACAGAAATGTTAACATTACGATCAGGATTTTGGACAATTCACACACAATCGGAATGGTCTTTCTGGTCTTTCTACAGAGAAATACTTTCCTTCCTGGCACCTCCAACTTCTATTTTGGTTTCACTTGTCCATCATTTTCAGGCAATATCAGTTAAACATTATTTTTTTCAAGTATGATATTCAAGGTTTTGAAAATTATGTTCATAGTTCCAGTGTTATAGAAAATGAAATAAAAGTCTGGACGGTCCTAACAGTTCCAGATTTCTGATTTTTTCTATGAGATGTGATCATACAGTCTCTAATTTCTACAGACAAAGTACATCAAAGCATTTCAAAACTTTATCAGAATAATGGATACATGTTGCTACCTTAAAGCATTTTTATAGACACACGCTTCGACTACACTTGTCCATATATACATATGTACATTCGAAAACAGGCGGAACAATGAGCAATGTTCCCAATGTCACGAATTTCGTGCAACATGTCAACTGACAGATCGAAACTTATACTCAAACAATAGTTATATAGGGTTAGATTAAATCTATATCACAGATGTAACCACAGTTACGACAATTTTCATACATCTTGACGCCTTGACGTATGTCACTATTATGGGTGCACGATGTGGTTAAAACTATTAAAATGAAAACTAATTCGTACATTCTTATTAGGTTGAGAGTGTGAAATATTCCCAGAGAACTTACGATAGATACGAGGCTCAAACATCGATTAGATGGATTCTCTCAGAAAAATGTTATTATTCAAGGTTGAATGGTTATTTTCCTTCAAATATTGTACAGAGTTTATAAAATATTTAGAGACAAAATCAATGTACTTAAGACGGATTGTTAACATAGTAGAAAGCTGAACAATAACGAAAACCCTGGTACCAAGATTTCATCATTTATTACCAAGATCGATTAAAAGAGTATTACTTGAAAAAAATCGTTCTTGAAATGCAGGTTGATAGATTTTTATACGTACTTGAATCAAAGTGTGGTAGCATGGTATGAGTCACTACTATTGGGTAATGACAGGATATTAAGATTATGTTGGTGGTATTGTCTCTGGAGGATGTAAACTGTATTTGAAAAAAAAAATGAGATTGGCCTGTTTATTGATTCGTTCAGTAAGGCATCAAAGATCCGCCATCATCCCGAAAAGGATTGTGATATGTGGTATAACAAGGATTCGGGAAACTAGCAAACATGTCACAAAGGATGCCAATCACTAGATAATTTAAACAATGTTTGGTATGTTGATAGTTCAAGAATACGACATAATGAAGCCAATCAACTAGACAGGCTTAATCCTCTGACGAGAACTGACATGATAATACCGTTTGATCTTCTCTAGAGAAATGACATGATACGGCTTGGAACTTGAAGATGAATGAAACAATACTTATTAAACATAGTCGTGTAAAACATAACTGATACACAGGTATTGATTTGGGCCAACATTAAATCATTGCTTTAACCAAACTATAGAAATGGCCATGACTAACGTTGTTCGGCCATTAATACAAAAGTGGGCAAACAGGGCGGAGCGGGAACGGGGTTTTGGGATAGGGTTCCGCTACTGTTTGGCTACCGGACAAAAGTCAGTGTATTCTACCGTACATAAGACAGTAAGGTTGATGCGATTATTGACCTTGACCTCTATGCATATGCATGTGATTTAAACGGTATTTTCAAAAACGAAATTTAAATTAATAAAGTTTAAAATAATTTACCTTAACAATCGACAGTTTCACAGCATTGATTGTGATCTAAGTAGTTGTTTGGTAAGGCAAACGTTTCATGCGTTGTTGGGATATGTTCAGGTGACAGTTCACGTCTTCGTGTCATGTGTTGTTGGGATGTTTTAAGGTGACAGTTTACGTCCTCGTTTCATGTGTTGTTGGGATGTGTTAAGGTGACAGTTCGCGTCTTCGTTTCATGTGTTGTTGGGATGTTTTGAGGTGTCAGTTCACGTCCTCGTTTCATGTGATGTTGGGATGTGTTAAGGTGACGTCTTCGTTTCATGTGTTGCTGGGATGTGTTAAGGTGACGTCTTCGTTTCATGTGTTGTTGGGATGTGTTAAGGTGAAAGTTCACGTCTTCGTTTCATGTGTTGTTGGGATGTGGTAAGGTGAAAGTTCACGTCCTCGTTTCATGTGTTGTTGGGATGTGTTAAGGTGACAGTTCACGTCCTCGTTTCATGTGTTGTTGGGATGTGTTAAGGTGACAGTTCACGTCTTCGTTTCATGTGTTGTTGGGATGTGTTAAGGTGACAGTTCACGTCTTCGTTTCATGTGTTGTTGGGATGTGTTAAGGTGACAGTTCGCGTCTTCGTTTCATGTGTTGTTGGGATGTGTTAAGGTGACGTCTTCGTTTCATATGTTGTTGGGATGTGTTAAGGTGACAATTCACGTCCTCGTTTCATGTGTTGTTGGATGAAAGGTGACAGTTAATCTTTTCAGTTTCATGTGTTGTTGGGATGTGTTAAGGTGACTGTTCACGTCTTCGTTTCATGTGTTGTTGGGATGTGTTAAGGTGAGAGTTCCCGTCTTCGTGTCATGTGTTGTTGGGATGTGTTAAGGTGACAGTTCGCGTCTTCGTTTCATGTGTTGTTGGGATGTGTTAAGGTGATAATGCTTCTTATCGCTATTTCTCATGTGTTGTTGGGATGTGTTGCAAATTACGTATATGTCGTGTCCAATCGGAAAAAAATAAATTGGTCTACAAACAAATAGAATTTAAATTTCGGAAAAAAATATTTTAACATATATTATTTTATTTTTAATTCATTTTCAGTTTGCATGAGTTCGAATATGACAGGGAGTGTACTATTTGACATAAAACTTTTGTTTTTTATTTTGTATATCATATTAAATTGTTTATTCCAATTTAACTTTGGGGTAATTCATAGGTGACCATTTAGGAATTGTCTCATGTTTTAACTACATTTTGTATTTCTTTTAAAGCCTTATTGGTATGCTAAAAAGAGAGGCAAGTCTGTCAGTACACGCGAACACGATATGGAAGAAATGGGACAGTTTAGAACCATGGATTGATGGCTTACAAATATCACGCTAAGATACTACCATATCGACACACTCTGTATGAAATACTATACTTACTGGTTCAGTATTTTAATAGCTATAAGTAATAAATATATTCTTGGCACAAAATAGGATTGTGGAAATTACATAATATATTAAAAGTCGGGCAATGGTTAAGAAAAAAAGCCATTGATGAAGTTTCTTTACCTCATTAAAATTTCCGGAAGAGCGATGTTACTGAATTTTATAACGCTTTTGTTAGATAGAGCAAAATGTGTGTAGCTTATCCAATATAACTAACTTTTATTTTCCAAAGCCGCCTTCTTGATTTTCAATAATTTCGTCTCTTAACATCACTGTCAGGTCCAAAGATGGACGAAAGAGCTGTATGATGCAATCTAATTAATCACATGGCTCAATGTTTCCGGAAAAGACATGGGTACTTATGTGTCTTGCAAAATATTTACAGTTTTATGGCGCAGTTGACTAATTCGACACAGTTGACAGCTAAATACTTCTGACCATGTTACAAATCCTAGTTTCCATGTGAGAAACAAATACAGAAACTTATTAGTAATTTATTAGTCATCAGAATATTCAATTAAGGCCATCGGTAACGTCTGACATTTACAACATTCACTGTCCTCTTTTATGTCCCTAGTTACTTGTCTCGAATTGGAACATCGACTTTCTTCATAGCAACATAAAGACACAACGACTTAATGTATATAGTTGATGAGCCATACGAATATTCACAGAATGAATTAACTTAATTTGCACTTTCGTCTTCTTTTCAAGACAGAAACACCTAGGTATTGTAAGTTAACATGTTTTTTTCCAACTTTTTTCTTAGAAATACTGACTTTCTATTGCAATACTCTATCAATGATGAGAAATTCAACATGAACAGTACCCTTTGATATTTACTGTATTTTGTCACAAAAGTGAAAACGTAGTTCTATCATAATCAACAACTATCGATCGATCAAGAAATGTTGAAAATGTCTCGGCGGCAAGATATGCGAACGGTGTTAAGATGTCACTTGTTATCCCACACGATATACACAGGCCAGTATGCAAGGTTGAATACAAGGAAGGTGAGAGGAAATGCAATTCGCGCTATCCTGTCTGCTGTCCTCGCTTTCTCTCTAGCCGCCGCTACTTGACCAGAATTCTGCAACATACAATTCATCACAGAAACATAAAATTATTGGATCTGACGACGTGTGATTGAAATGAGTTTGATCGAATCCAGCAAATTTACTTTAATGTGGAATTTGAAGACGTCTAGGGGCTTTTGTTAGTGTCACGGATAGACATATCATTGGTGCAGTCAGATTAAGACTAGATCCATGCTGATTTGGTGTCAGAGACCGAAGCAACAAGGAAGTGTAGGGACAGGCAGTCATGTATGTTGATGAAATTAAGATGCAAGATACAAAAATCAGAAACAGGACCATGGTATGGATTGATAAGGATTAAATCTTAAAGTGTACCCTGAGAGTAATTTTATATTTAGATATAATGTTAAGAATGCCGTAAAAATAATAATAATGCAAACCCCGTCAAAATCCGTCGCCCCAGTGTCGAGTTATTAAAGCTCAAAATTGTCGATTTTCACCTGTCCGCCCAGACCTAATCAGTCGAATCGTCATTTCCGCGGAATCGAGGCTCTTCTACTCGTGACGTCATAAGTTCAACAGAAATGGCAGTCAACGTGACTGACAGTGACAACGACACCGCAACTGAGAGCGATTTGAGCATGGGTTTTGAGGAGTCTGATTATGGTGTGAATGATATGTCTGAAGACGGAATCCAGCCCTACCGATTTGAACTGGAATTACAAGACGATGTATCCAGTGAGGAGGAAAATGACCCTTCGAAAAGTGACGATCGCTTGGGCAACATAGATTGGCACGTACTTCACTGGGTCTCACCAGTAGTCGTGAAAGTAGTCGAACAGTGAATCGTCGTTTCAAAGAAACAAAATAAAATTGGGTGTGGTTTTGGACTAATTTTACTATCTTCAAGTCTCGATCAACAATATCTGACGTCGGGAAATCGCGTTTGTGCAAGACTATACATTCACGAGGTGTCGGGAATTTTCTTACCGAGAAGTTTCGTCCGAGGGGAATTTTTCTTTCCAGGGAATTTTCGTAGCACTATGGATATATATAGATAGGGTGTCAACAACCAATTATAACACCCTCCGCTGTGTTAATAATAAAAATTTGATGTTTTAGAAGTTTAAACAATTATTTGACTGGTTTTACCCTAGTACTGGTACGCGTCTGTTGTTAGCCGACAGGCGTGTCGCCTCACAGGTGTCACAATTGTTTTTTCCAGCCACAGAGGTGCTAATTACCTAACCTGGTACAGGTGTGATTATGAGTTTAGATGACATCTCTACACTGTGAACTGTGTTTTCAAATCAAGATTGGTGATCTTATTGTTATTTTTACGATCGCAAAATTAATAACTAAACAACATCGTCTGCTGGAAGATCTAAAAACCAAATACACCTTATACAAACAACATACACACATAACCTATTCTATAAATTCTATTCTATACTATATAATAGTAGTATGAAAATTCTCGGGGTGAAAATTCCCGTGACCCATTCACGACTAGGCCTTCTCCGAGTATTAGGCGTTCACGATTACGAAGGAATAATACCGCTCAAGTCATAGGCTAGCCAATCAATTTAAAATGTTTAGTTGTAGAATTAATAACAAAATATCAACCTAACAAATATACTTTTATATAATCAGCAATCAGTTTTATGTATCGACGTCATGCATCGACACCCCATCCGTGTTAGTGTTAGGACAACCATACACACCGCTTCCCTCCTCGATAGGAAGCCATTTTAGCGGATTTAAGCGCTAATTCACCGACCCCTCGTTCACTACCTTAGATATTGCGAAGATGCGAAGTACTTTCACGTAAATAAACAAAGAAATTACCACGGAAAATCCCAAAATAGATCACAATCACATGTAGCACAGTTAAGACAATATGGCTGCATCAACAAAAGCGTTGAGCTTATGACGTCACAAGTTTGGGTGCCCGAAAACGAGGTCAACGCCTCTCGGCCAAAGGTGTGTTTTTCAGAAAAGTCGCAATTTCTCAGTAACGGAACATTCCACGGCATTCGCGTTTTCGGCATAGTGTATTTTATGTGCAGAACTATTTTTCAATGTCAACATAGCTGACCTCTCAGGGTACACTTTAAATCTCATTGTTATCTGAGGCAATATCTTATATCAAATGTAACAAACGTTGCGATAGGAACATAAATGGAAAATAAAGCGATTTCATAATACATGTATTTCTTTATCGTGTTATAAAAACATTAAGGAATAAATGAATTTGTATTCCTTTTTGTGTTTGTTTATAGTGTCCGATAGGTTCTCTTTTCACTCTTTCCTACAAAGACAGTTTCTTCCTCCTGTCCTTCCCGCCTGTTGACTGCAATGTTGAGCGTACGAACAAGTGGATTATATCCCACCCAAGCCGTGATGTACTGCACTCATTATTTCATTTACTTTGGTACATGAACATAACATGCGATAGACATACTACATAACATAATAAAATAAATCTAATTTAACTATATTGCTGAATTAATTTCAACAGACCGAAGTTACTGGATATCAAATTACAGCATAAATCTGTTCTCCCTGTTGGAATGTCATCATTAAGTCTAGCGTACGATGACTTGGGAGTCTATAATGATTGTAATGACGTTAGGTAAGGATCACTTTACTGTGTCCAGATAATTACATTTCAGCGTGATAGCACTATAAGAACGTACTTAAGTGGTCCTATCATTCGACACCATAGAAGCTACCTATTGTATGTTATATGCAAAAGCAAATTGTTATGGTTTTTGACATGTTAAGCCGATGTGGGGATGACTGACTTCTTTCAATATTTTCCAGTCATTGGAACCTTTCATCATCTAGTCTTAATAGGATGACACAGCTATGTGCATCAGGTCTTCTGATATCTTATTGTAATTTAATGGCCCATTAGTATCAGGAAATGTTGGACAAAAATGTCAAAATTTGAACTTCACATGTTGCATTATTAGTCATCAAAATGACATTACTGTAGCCGATACATAATTTGTTTTGTTGATCAGACGTATATCGTTACCCTGTCTGTCTCGTCCTTACCTCTCTTGTAGTAAAATTTCCACTACTACCGCCATTAATATCGGTCTTTTTTGATTCCACAACAGATTCACGCCTTCTCCGTTCAACACGTGATAACACATTCACATGCGCAAACTGTATGAGAGCAGCGAAAACAAATAACAAGCAGATGGCCATCCAAACATCTATAGCCTTAATGTAAGATACCCGGGGTAGCTCTGACCGGGCGGATGAAGACATGGTTGTCATGGTGAGAACGGTAAGTAGACCGAGTGAGATCCGGGCAGGAACTGCATCTATGTTAAGCCAAAACGATACCCAAGATAGCATGACGATGAGGCTTGTTGGTATGTAAACCTGGATCAAGTAGTATCCATAGTTACGGGTCAGTTTGATGTTGAAACCAACACAGCTATACAGGACTGTAAAATTATAGATATTCAGAATTAATGTGTCGTTGTCATCAACAATGTATTCCGAATCAATATTTAACTGACCTAAATTGTAAAAAAAAAAAAAAAAAAAATACTGGCTGATCGTGAATAAAGCTTTTAAAAGACCACCAACCTCAGGCAAATCAAGAAATATCCGAGCCATGAAATTATAAAGGGTTGTAGATGGTAATAAATTACAATTCTAGTTCTATTTTTGAAAACTTAAACCTGCCCTTCAATAAGGTTAAACAACGTTTATCAGGAACCTTTGTTTCTGATACACGAGTGTTTTACTCGTGGGTTTTACATACGAATTGTATATGTATATTTTGTTTCTGAAACAACTTTGTCAACTGCATACATTACAATGTAAATAACAAAAGCTGGCCACTACATACATAGGACTACATCTTACCCCCACTGTACACCTCGTCACATGTGTAGGAACTGACTTCCCCGATCTCGAACTGTGGCGACACAAGTCCGTCCACCCGCATTACCGGTATATCGCGCCATTTCACGTGTAAAAAATCGGCACTGTGCCCGTCTGTAAATGTTAAGTGGTGATTCCTGAATTAATGTTCATATAGGTAGACCTTTACATATCTGACAATGTAACAGGTTTTTCGAAATGAAAATTATGAATAATATGCAGGTGTCTGATTCATAGATTAATAACTGTAACAATTATTCACCCCGAGTGTTCATGTTGTGCTGTTCTATTTCCCTTGCTTAAAGAACTAGTACATAAACCAGAGAGCACGTTTCAAGTAATAACTCGACAAATGGAGACTAAACAAGAACAAAAGAAGAATTGTACCTAATTGGAAACTAATCTTGTAAAAAGACCATAAAGGGAAAACGCATCTGTTGCTGCGTCGATGGTTACCGTCATGAAAATATCTATCAATTCGAAATAATGTGATTTGTAATTCTCATCAAAGTGATGACCATAAAACCAAATTTTATTATTTTTTGTCAAAATCAAATGCACACGGTGAAACTATGAAAGTGAGAAGAGCAGGATGGTTGCAGTCAAGAAATGGAAAGTTTCTAACCTTGATACATGTAATTGGAACAGATTTTATTTATTTATTGTTAGCGATGTACTTATGGCATACTTAGATCTTGAACGCTGAGAACCGTAGGAAAGAATGCTTACTAATATGGAATGGTACACAAGTTTGAAACAGTAAAGATAAATTTCAAAGACAGTTTACCTATCTCATTACTTATCCATTTTCTGTGACAAAATAAAAAATATTTACATCACCACCATTATCAAAATAGTAATTATTGATTACAAAATAGTGGTATTTTGATATCTCAAAGCTATCCATACATTATATCAGTTACGTGAAATCTAAAATTATGAATATGAATAAATTTTCGCTGATATGTAACTTACAGCTCTCAATCTCCAAATTACAGATTTGCTCATCTAGAGGATAAGTGTGAAGCTTCATGAAGCAGGAAAATGTTCCAGTTACCCTACAACAAACCAGATAGAGAAAATAAAAAAAAATTATATCATGAAAAATATTAATATGACGACATCGAGTAACCTATAAGAGTCGACATATTTTTTTCTTGCGTTAGCGATGTCATGCTAAATGCATGGTATTTCCCTGTATGAACACTCATTCGGAAGATTGGAGTGGTTTTATTAACACTGTTTTAAGTTTAAAATTTTCGCTCCATTATATATAAATTTAAAAATTGAAGATAAAATAATTATGTCTGTTTTTCTCTTCTTCGGACTAACTACTTGTCAGGCTATTTACACACTAAATGGACATTGGAAAGATCTATTGAGCACATACCAGTCAACAGAAGCGTGGTATTCCCTATTAATGCAAACTAGTTGTAAATCATTTCATGGAAGAATCAGTGCTTGCGAAAACGCAATGGATGAAGATACTCCATGTACTGCGGATGTTGATGTTTTCAAATTTCTAATTTTCTTGGGTCAATCAAAAGCTAGAAGTAAAAAGAATCCGTTGTTCGTTTTTCAGTGTATCCTTTTTCATGAAAAGAGCGAAAAAATATAACCGTATGAAAATAACATCCTTTACCGTGTATAAAGTTACCTTCGGCTGAAATAGACCGTGCCGTCGGGGTAAACGTAAATCAGAGTGTTTGGCACAGTGACGTGGTGAAAATTTGCTTCTTTTTCATTCCTGATATAGAGGTCGGGTATCCATAAGGAGGACACTTGTCGGGTATCCATCTCTAAATATCCCTCTTCATCTATAGGCGTGTGCATCAGACGCGAGTCATTCCATGTTTGACGAAGAAACATGCTCATTTTGAAGTCCTGAAAAAAGTAGTAAAAGTAGTGTCGACAAATGGCAGACAAAAATGTAACCAAAATCCAAACTAAAATCCAATAAAACTAGGGCATAAAATATTTCTCAACGTGATCACTTTCATGGCCGTATAATTACCCCATAATTATCATCGACCTGCATGTCTTGAAGGCCTGTGTTATAATCATCATACAGTCGACGCCAATCGTGATATGGGGAAAATGGCCATGTATAGATGCAATTTTCTTTTACATGTCAATCTAGTTTTTTCTTTGAATTTAAGTTTGAATTGGGAGAATGTCGACGTGTTGGTATTATCGTTTTCTTGATATACCAGATATATCATCTCACCTGCTTGTGTGTGCGTTTTGAAATTTAAAAAGACACGTCCCTCTTCAAAGTATATTTAAAAACCACAAAGAGTTTTCATGATTGTGTGATTCTGCTGAATATGGAATAATTTAAAATCCTGTATGTTAAATACATTCAATAAACAAAACTGGCTTTGAGTACAAAATGTATAAGACGTCTTTCACAATATTTTGATAGAGTAAGAAGTATTTGTGTACCAGACCAGGCTGACGCCATAGACAAGGACAGTGTTGAACCAACACAATCAAAGATTGTTATTGCAATCATTTATTTGTTATCAGAACTTTAATTGAAAATTAATTTTGTTTTCTATAATGGTGAGTTATCACGACATATTTTACTTTCGCAGAACACACTGTTACCTACCATGTTAGCCTCGCTAACTGAATCGATGGACAGAATATAAATCTGCACTTTGTCCACGACAGGGCCCCCTGTGTATAGGTATGTACAAAATAACAAAATAACAATAAAATAAGTAAAAACATGAATAAACAACGGTGAGAAAAAGCAGAAAATAAAATTATGCATTCGAACCCCGTTATCTCGAAGTTGTGTATCTCGAAGATTCCATTCAATTTAAAGTAATTTGTCGGTCCCAGTCAAACTTCATACCAAATATGCACACTCGATGTACTGGAATACCCAAGTGTATCTAATCAATGATGTATTATCTAAATTATTTATTTAGAATTTAGATATATATCGATGTAATGTTCCAGAAATGTTCTTTTCACAGCAGAGTCTGATATTACACAGTTCTACGCTATTACCTATCAGCAGGTTATGTTTACTTTACCGTTACAACTACATAACGTAGGAATTGATTTGCCATAATGCATACAGAATATCACAAACTTCCGTGCATTCGCTGGTAACTTTACCGTTCGTGTAAAATGGCCGAATAGTAGGATCGTAGTTCTGAAATAATGATTTCGTCAGGGATTGTCTGAAAATTAAAAGATATGAATATCAGAAGTGATATACTTCTGATAATTGGAATCAATAATGACAAAAGGGTACTTACATTAGTAAACAAAAAATAATTAAAAATGCATTTATCATTGATACCTATTAGAACGCAAATACTGATCTCAATACACAATGATAAGCGAGTATGAAAAGACTATAATTAGATAATTAATAATGGACCATGAAAAGTAAAGTTTGTGTGAAGAACGAAGAGTTTAAACAAGTTGTATAGACCACAGATTCCATGCTGTTCCATATAACCCTGTTAGTACACTATCAATGAAAATATATTATAAACGAATATATAACAAAGTATATTACCTGTATAGAAAAATCGGCTTGTGGGAGTTAACACTTCATTGAGTAATCATGTATAAAGGTGATTATCGAGAACATGGCTAGAAAAGGTATATATTTGTTGTATTACGATCATATACCGAAATTATCGCGTCAGTGTGATTTGTTACCCTATCAGGTTGCTTTGCCGATGACTGGGGCTGTTCTTTTTTATTTACCTTTGTATATCTTAGATATATAAAGATATTTAAGCATTGATAAAACCGATATACATTTAACACTTTCACAGAATCTGTATAACAAATGAAAAGGGGTGACTACTTACAATTGAAGAGAGATATTCTCGGGTGAGCTTCCTTCGGCTCTATGACATAAATTCCACAACATGAAGACAAGGATTCCTTCGTTCCTAAACATCCTCATCTTGGATCAAATAGCACTGTAAAATACTCCGTTCAGATTGATCTTTGCATCACAATTAATCGCACTAGCTAATTTTAATCCTATTAATGCTTGATTCCACCAACCATTTACATGTAATTGTGGCACTTAAAGGCCAATAGCATTGAATACACGATTGTAGTATACATACATACAAGCTTTCAGTAAACGAACGATAACTAACAACGCAGTCGTGCCATATAAAGGTCCTCAACAAATGAATGTATCTGCGATACGTTTGAGAACAGGTGGTTGAAAACATTAATAAGTATAAAACTGGGATTGAAAGAATCACACATGCCTAAACATTATTATTCACTCCCATTATACAAACAACGGTAGAACCAACAAAACAATAGGTTTGATCAATCCTGATATGTCCTGTCGCTGACCTGGTCTGAAGCTGATGGGTCTTTAATCCATTTTCTGCACAGATGATTTTACCAATATTGGTGGAATGGAAATAGAATACTTTTGAACGCGTGTACAATGTTATGTTAATAATCAAAGTATCTTGTCTCCATTGTGTTTGCTGGAAGTCAGTGATTGTCACAATGATCGTGGTCCAGCGAAACGATCCAATGGTGTTTGTATGATGGGAAGAATTCGATAGACATCCAGTGATCAATGATGTTATTTATGTACACTGGTTTACAAAGATCAAAAGTTACACCAACATCGGACCTGTTATCAGTGAACGTTCCACTTATAATCTCATCAAAGCCAGTCGTTTATACCACTAATGTCCATTTCGTATGGTTTCAGATTATGTATGGTATGACCACCAACTTCACTGTATCAAATATCAGGATATTGGGCAAGGTTATCATTTTAGCCAAAGCGGCATGGTGATTGAACATCATTGTTTTTTCTCTGATATTGCTTACTTTACACTTAAGTCTGTGCGATTTCTATTTTTAATGTTATCTGGTCTGAAAGATCTTAATGTTTTCTCGGCTTTGTTACAAAGACAGCATGTGTGACGAGGTAATGATATAATAAATGTGTCAATGAATTATTAATCATTTTCAGGCACCGAACATTTTTTTAATAAAAAATTCTCATTGTGTTTAGTCCCATCCGGCTAAACAAGATCTACATCGATTCCCCAGGGTCTCACGTATCTGTAGTTTAAGTCGGTGTCAGCCTTCCAAACTAACTTAACGTAAATACAACTACTTAAGATAAAAAGCTAGTAAGATAATATCTTCATTGTTATTAATTTACACCAAAAAAAGGAGGCGTGGCAACTAAGTCACCTCAGGAAAACATCCAAGGGTCGGTGTTCGACTCTCCCTACCCATGTTGTTCAGTGAGGTTGCCCCCAAGTACTATAAGAGAACCCTGCCTCAATTTGACCCTGACTGTTTACAGGGAGGTAAACAAACTACCAATAAAGGATTTGTCAAATTGATAACGTTGTAAGAAATGCGGAATAAAAGATCAAGTCAACATTATTTGTAGTTATGATGTGTAAAGTTTTCAACCTACAGAGAGCTGGTCACTCCTTTCATAACCATCTCTCTGGTTAAGTTAGTGTAATATGTCATATCCAAAATGATTTTTTTTGTGAAATACGAAATGATATTGACATGTTAGACTATGCTATAGTCTTATTGATAAAATCATTCAGTTTACCGATTTTGATATCATATATGTTAACGTCACCACTAATATCTAAATGGTCATGGTCAGGTGTTTACCTATTTCTCCAGTTATTTTTACAGCTGACGAATGGTCTAAATAACATTTGTTCTACAGAGCACCTTCACCATTAAGAACACGACATTTAAGGCAAATGTAACAAATACACAGGTGTGGCAATACACTGACTGATAGATGTTTAATCAGCTACACACTACTGGACTTGAGAACTAGAAATATGAAACATTGTGTTGATTTCCTCTGATAAGTAATTTCCCTTGTGCTTGTGTTGTTGCAATAGCAACTGTTGCAAAACAAGGTATAGCTTACCAAAGTTTATATTTAGTTTTGACATCAGGACTGCATGAGGTTTTGATTTTTAATAAATGATTTTTATAATTTCAAAGTTATATTCTGGTATATTTATGGTATGGATGTTACACTTAAGATCAATACTACTTCCATTTACTTAAATTATAACTAATAACTGAAAAAAAAAGTTCACCTAATAATACAAAGAGAAAATAAAACCTACAATGCATAACTACCGCAGGCAGTTTGTATTAGTAAGAATCAATATATTTAGAAAACAATGGCTCTAAAAGAAGTATATGAAACAAAGACCAGTGGTTAAAATGATAAGTTTAAAAACACAAGAAGAGGCCTCCCAACTGTTATAAGAATCAGATCACTTGTCCCGTAATACATCTCCTGATTCGTAAACCACATCCGTCATGTGGATCTATGTCAAATCAAAATTGTTTCCTGAGAATAGGTCAAAGGAATGAAAAAAAAAACGTAACGAACACATTTTAAAAAATGGTTAGTGTTGTAATGGGAGCACACCGAACAAGATTTCGTCATCACTAGTCCATATCCCCTGTGGAAATAGTAGATATTGTGAACAGAAGTTTACATCTACATGTCTTTACTGAACAGTGGAAGAATCAGGAATAAGATAGTTAACAACAGGAAAATTAATATCCATACTCTAATCAATTAATGGTAAGCTGTCTCTCTTCGTTACTTTTCAAATAAAAATCATGCTTAGTTGTTAAATGTAGAACGATACGTTTTATATCAATATCGCTGATTAAAATGGATTTTTTTTTTGTCATTTACTAATGGAGATCGTTACCATTGTATGAAGTTCGTTTGGAGGAGTATATTTTTGACAAAAGATTTTCAAGCACATGAAACAAAGATGGTTGTAAACAAATAGATAAACCGAACGGCATGACAATGATATACTTACGGTTCCAACCTGCAGAACAACATAACAATAATGTATTGTATGTCCTAGTACAAAATCAATGAGATGTAAATCTTTTTTGTTCCCTGTCAATCTTTGTTGTCTGGAGTATTTGTTTAAGTCGCACCTGATTCACACAAGATGGAAAGTAAACACATATCAATATATGCGTGTATCTGGTCGTTATGGAAACCATGGTGGCACTGGAACAATGCTACAAGAATGACGTTATCTAAATAACGGTTAAAGCCACTGGCTAGCAGTAAACAAAGGACAGGAAATGGTAAATATCGTTTTATTGCATCATAACGTTAACTGGGAATTGTCGATTTATCTCAGATATCATAATAGTAATATGAAAGTAGGATATAAAAACTTAATAAGTTAGAATTACAAAATCGACAACAATTTTGTTGGTGATCAAAATGGTCATGAATAATTCCTAACTTCTAATTTTTCTCCCCTCACAAAACCTATCACATTCTGTTGATCACCGGAATTTGGAGTACAAAAGACGACAGGATATGATACTCGGATAAAAATGTAAATAAATTCAAATATTTATAAACCCAATCAATGCCTTTCTTTTTAACAACATAAGTATAAATAGACATTGTCATCCCTTGTAATCATATCCTCTTCTGTTTATATGCACGTTATCTTTCCCAAGGTCGGCCCCAACACATTTACCTGGGACGTAGCTAGCCCAGCAGAAATGTGTAAGCGCAGACGGGGGGATCTGAATTTGACGATTTCAAGGATGCATTGAATCGTTTTCTGAGACAGTTTATTTTATTCATTTAACAACAAACTTCAACCCCTGATATTTATTTTCAACCTTAGTTTTGTAATTTTGTCCAACATACTCTGTGCACGGATTTTTTTATGTGTTAGCCAGGGCTTTTTCTTTCTATGGAAGCTACGCCCCTGTCTACGTGAAGTTCTATCTTGAATTACCGCGATTTGAGTTCACTCTCACGGATGGCAATAGCAGCATTTCTTCTCACTCAATTAAAAGTATGGAGTTATGTGAGTTGTCAAGAATTGACTAGTGTTTCGCTTGATCTGAACCTATTGGTAGGATCCCTCATCGGAATTGACAAAATACTAGTTGTGCGAGTTGTCAAGAATTGACTGGTATTGCACTTGATCTGAATTTGTGGTAGGAGCTCTCATCGGAACTAACAAAATACTAGTTGTGCGAGTTGTCAAGAATTGACTGGTGTTGCGCTTGATCTGAACCTATTGGCAGGATCTCTCACCGGAATTGACAAAATATTAATTGTGCGAGTTGTCAAGAATTGACTGGTGTTTCGCTTGATCTGAATCTGTTGGTAGGAGCTCTCATCGGAACTGACAAAATACTAGTTGTGCGAGTTGTCAAGAATTGACTGGTGTTTCGCTTGATCTAAATCTTTTGGTAGGAGCTTTCATTGGAACTGACTCCCAATACTAGATGTTAGAATTCCTCTGGTGCAAGCGTCGTACTCTGAAACATGTGTTTTACAGAAAAGTCATCAAAGACATCGCAGTTGTCGTATCATTCATCATCGTGAAAAAATGAAATGCTTGTCCAATCAATATCGTTACTGTATAAGTCAGGAATAATCTAAATCTATTGAAAGAAGGGTCAATAAAGGCGTACAGGATGAATACGGTATCGCAAAAACTATAAAAAGCAAATCAAGCATTTCGGTGTGTTTGAAGAAAAGTTTTGCACAAAATTAGCCTAAGGCAAGAAAAAAATAAGCGTTTTTGGGGTTGATTTATCAAATTATCAAAAGATTTGTTTGTCTTTTATAGATGTATAAACTTTATTTTACAGTCATTCCGAAGTAAGCTAATAGTTTATACTAATCACTAATGAAGCACGCGAGGGGTCTTACTGTGAGAGGAAACAGGGGTTCTCCGGGAAAAATAACCTGATCTGGCAGGTGATCCCAAACTTTTCCGCGCTCGATCGGGAAATCGAAAAACGGATGTCTATATGAAAGGCGAGTGCGTTTTCACTGCGCCACCCGACCACTTTTAAAGTATCATACACAGAAATCTGTATCGAGGCTGACACTGTTAGATGTCATTTTCA